TGAGATTTATGGATTTGGAGATGAGAGCCCCACTGTATACACACTTCACAGAGACACTCGCCGGCCTCTCAACCATCCGAGCCTTTGGTTGGTCAGATGCCTTCCTAGAAGAAAACACCAGACGCCTGAGCATGTCTCAGAAGCCCTTTTACTTTCTGTTTTGCATCCAAAGGTGGCTACAAGTTGTATTGGATTTATTCGTTGCCGGCATGGCCCTTGTTCTCGTCTCCATGGCTCTGATGATGTCACGTTCTACTTCTGAAGGCCAAATTGCCCTAGCTATGGTGACCCTCCTCGGCTTCAATCACACTCTCACACTGTTCGTCGACCAGTGGACCCAAGTGGAAACTTCCCTTGGCGCTATCGCCCGTCTCAAGATATTCATGCGAGACACTCCAAACGAAGACGATGAGCCTGAAACAACGCTGCCGTTGAGCGACTGGCCTGCTCAGGGAGCTATCGAGTTTGAAGACATCTCCGCTTGCTACAGTGATACCGGTGATGTGGTGCTGCGCAACATATCACTGTTCATTTCACCTGGGCAAAAAGTATGCATCTGTGGTCGGTCAGGAAGGTTAGTTGCCACCAAAGCCTCGTCCAAAAGTTGTGACTTGAGAGCATTACGTCTAACATCAGTCTCTTACACAGCGGCAAATCATCACTCATTCTCACCCTGCTTCGTCTTGTTGAACTACGCTCCGGCAAGGTACTAATTGACGGTGTCGACCTGTCCACCGTGCCTCGCCAACATATCCGTTCATGTCTCAACACGGTCCCGCAAGATCCCATACGCATTGGAGGCAATGTTCGGCTCAACCTTGACCCAGAAGGTAGAATACAGTCAGATGAGCCTCTTATAGAGGCTTTAAATAAAGCGATGGTCTGGCCCATGATCGAGGAGCGAGGCGGTTTAGAAGCGCAGATCACAGATCTTGGTTTCTCAGTGGGTCAAATGCAGCTCTTCTCTCTCGCGAGAGCCCTCCTATCACGTAGCAAAGTGGTACTACTTGATGAAGCCACAAGCAGTATTGATAGGACCACAGATGAAGAGGTCCGACGGATCCTTAGAGACGAGCTGAGGGGTCGCACCGTCCTAGAAGTCGTACATCGGTTGGAGATTGTACGAGACTTTGACCTGGTAATTGTAATGGGGCATGGAGAAATACTGGAAACCGGATCGCCTGAAGAGTTATTGGCACAGCCATCATCGGAATTGCGGAAGCTTTACGACAGGAAAGGAGTTTGAGGGCGTCTGGTGGCTGCCCAATGACCCCATCTCCGACTTTGTGTATTATTCTTCCTTGCATTGCTTCTACTGTCATGTCAAGTGTATACAATATAAATTATTACTTTTTGGAAATCCCCGGGATTGGCTATTCGAAACAAAATGAAGTACCGCTCGTGGATGCACGGCGTGAGTCACAGCGAAAGACGCGGGATTGAACTACCGCAAATTCCACTCCACCAGACCCGTCCTCACATTTTGAGCTTCCTAATTGAGCGCTAAAGATTTGGCCCTTTGAACGAGTGAGGCTCGAGAGAGTTTCCTATAATATGGGCATCCTGATCGCAGAGACTTCAATCGACGCACCAGTTCGCGCTACATACTGCTTGCTCCTCATCACAACACGACCATGAGTCAAATATCCATCAGGCCGGCCACGGTGGCCGATACGGACGCCATCTGCGCTGTGATGATGGAGGCCCAGGAGCCTCTGCATGAGTTCTACGAGCTCTTCTTCAAGGACCACCCGCGGAACTTGGCGCCTATTGCTATGAGGCAGGCGCTCGCCAAGCCTGACAAGTTCACCTTCTTTGTTGCGGAGGAGGAGAAGACGGATGGGTCGGCGAGCAGGGACATCGTTGGGTACGTTCGGTACACGATTGTCGGGGCGGCAGATGCTGCTGGGGAGTCGACGTCTGCGCCTGCGCCTCCGGTATCGACGGTGTGGGACCGGCCGGGGCACATGGAGCAGCTGTGGGAACAGTTCAATGCTGATCAGAATGCTGCGGAGGCGGTGGTTGAGGAGGTGATTGCGGGGAGGCGGCATCTCTGTAAGTCGTGGCCATTGGATCTGAACGACCCGGGAACCTTGAGTTAATTTGCTAATATTTTATTTCTTTCATCATCTAGGGGTCCAACAGGTCATGATCCTCCCAGATCGTCAGCGGCAGGGGATTGGAAAGAAGCTGCTGCAGAAGGCACTGGACGAGGCGGATGCGCAGGGCGTGCCTTCGATTCTCACGTCCTCGGAGAAGGGGTATGGGCTGTATGTGAGGCTAGGATTTGCGTCCCTCGCCGAGTTCTTATTGGATAATGGCGCATGGACGGTCAAGGTACTGGAGCATCTGAAGAGCTTAGGGATGAGCAGAGACGAGACATTGGCTGAGAAGTATAGAGGGACTGTGGAGAAGGGGTGGGCGATGATACGGGAGGTGCCGAAATAAACAAGGTCATAATATTATTAAATATATATCGAAAAGATTCTCCCCCCAGCCACTCATTCCGCAGTTGGCTTACTGGCCTCCTGTGCTGTTTTCTGATCAGAAGAATCGGTATTTGCTGGTTTGCCCTCGACAATCGGGCTGATGGTCTGCTCGTCTTCTGTCTTCTTCGTGGAAGAGCCATCCTTCTTTCCAAATAGATTGACGCTTGGCATAGAAACTGGCATGGACACTGGCATGGATACTTGCCCCAGCGAGGATATAGCAGAAGAAACATTGGGCAAATTGGGTACCTTGGGCAATGACGAGGGTACAGCCGGTACTTTTGCTGGCCACCAGCTTTTGGCCCCCGACCCAGCTTGCTCGGCGACCCGGAACAGATGTTGCAAATACGTTCTTTTCTCATCTGTTTGCTTGTCATCAGTATCAGCACTGTCGACCAGATCCCCTTCGCTCCCAGGCAGCGGAACCAGTGCGGCGGCGGCTGCAATGTCGATGGGAGACTCGTCTGGTAGCGCATCGCCGTCTGCTTCTTTGGGGGCAGGTTCTTCTGTTTCATCCGTTTCTTCGGTCTCCTTCTCTACTTTCTCTAGCGCTTCATCCACGACCTTGTCTTCCGCCTTTTCATCGGGTGTTTCTTCTCGGAGCGTAGGTTCGTCAACAATTGGAGCATCATTCAAGAACCATGCGCAGATAAGTTGGGCCGACTTCTCCATCATGAGGTCGTACCCTTTGTGCTTCTCGGGTCTGAATATGTCCATATGCGCCTTGATCTCGTCATCGGACTCCCTCATTACTCTTCTCTCGAATATGGGGTACGCAGCATGATCCTCCTCGGGCACTGCGCAAAACGTTCTCTCAGGCACAAAGTATCCGCCACTCCAGTATCCGTTCTCCCCTAGGGAGCAGTAAAAGTCATGGACTCCCACTCCCTTGACGGCAGCGAGGCGCTCCAGGCGACGGCTCAATTCCTTCTGCTTCATCAAAGCCCCGACGAAAGTGAAATGGTCGGCCAGCCAGGCAAACGACTTGCCCACGTTCCCGCGATTGATGTATGCGAGCCCCTGTCCGATTGCGTCCATTCCTTGGTGGTAGCCGTCGATGACGGAATCCTTGTTGAGATTCCGGATGCTCTTTACACCTTTCATGATGGCCTCCCGGTGCACGTACGCGGCGACACCACCAGCAGCGATGGCTCCGACGGTTCCTGTCCTGACGGCAACGAGCTGCCAGGTCGTCCAAGCCGGGCTCCTAGAGAGCCTAGAGCCTGAGCTCGCCGCTCGGGTCGTTGCAGCGGTTCGGCTTCCCAGTCGTGCGAAGGTGGCAGGAGCAGCGGCTGAGAGTGCCGTCATGGCGTTGAAGACGCCACTGACCTTCGAGTAATTTGAGAAGGCGCCGTAAACAAACATTGACCGGGCCAAGCCATTGTATGGGGTGTCGAATGTGAGGATGCCTTGGATAAGAGGGAAGGGAGCGATATCGTTCTCATCGCCCTCGGTGGGGGCACCCTTAGCAGCACGCTCGTTCAGAGTCAGGAAAAGAGCATCGGCTGCCACAAATCCTCTATGGGTATTGTTAGCAAGGGAAGTTTGCAAGATAAGACTTAAAGGGCCGGCCACTCACCCCATGGAGTGTGCGACGAGAATCACACCAACTTTGCGGTCGACTGGTGGCCATGGGTTGTTGAAATGGCGTTGGCGGCATTCAATCACCCGCTCTTTGAGCCTTAATTATCGTGTTAACATGGGGATTTTTCCATCTTGATATGTCTGCGTACCATTCCACAAAGGCCTCTGTGGCCTGCTCCAATTCGCCTTTGGTTTCGTATTTGGGATAGACGACAGACTCCACATGGTGATCAGGGAGCTGTTTGCCTACATGCTGTTGAAGATGCTAAGGCAAGGCGTGAGCACATACTGATCTGAATAAACGTGAAGTGGCTGGATTAAACATACTTCGGGAAACTCTTTGAATGTGTTGTCGGTCCCCTGTGGCTTGGTTAATCGAATACGGTGGCGGGAGGCAATTTGCTTGTATGTACCTTAAATCCATGGATGAAACAAAGGAGTAATACTCGCGACATGTTGTTCTCTCGATGCCTCTTTAGGGTGAGTGAATTGCTTCAAGTCTCCGGTGTCTGAGCAGATGAAACAATGGGCGAGGTCCAGGATCTTAAAGGTATTTTTCCAGCCTTTGCCTGTGTTTTCGCGTTGGTCGTACCTGCCCGGGATCTTGCACAACACTTTCTACGGGATGACGATAAACATCATCAGCGACTGGTTGCCTCCCATCTCATTTCCTGTTTTGCCAATCCAGATCCAACCGCTACATCAATCGCGATCCACCGTATCATTCACCATCCACTGCATAACATCATGTTCTAGCCCGAAGAAGCAGTTTGCACACACCCACAAAGTCGAAGTGGTGGTCTGGCGGCGACGTGGATGATGTCATCACTCACTCGGCATGCACAACACCTCCAACAGATGATCGGCGCAACCACCAAGGACACAGCAGAGAGCAGCTGGAAACAATCCAATTTTTTTCCTGTCTATTCAAATTTCGCCGGTTTCACGTTGCGCTAGCAGCCACTCTCTCCATCCCTCGTCCTTGAGAATCGACCGAACCCGTGCCTCGAGCCACTCGGTATTCCCCCAAAATCCCCACGATGCCTGGAACCGACACCAGTCCACCAACGCCGTCTCCCAATGCCGCACAAACAGATCCCACGGATATTCGATATCGGCCATGTCGGCGAATTCGTGCAGCGTGTTGAGGTATTCCTCCAGCAGCTTCCTCTCGCCGCTTTCCATAGCCAACTCCTCCGGCAGTGATCCTTCGTCCTCGCTGACGAGCAAGTCCTGCGGCACCGAGCAGGTGAATAGCTTTGCCAAATCGCTTACCCCGAGACCGAGACCAACATACTGGAAATCTACAAAGGCCACCCTGTCGCCGGAACGCGTGGTGAAGAGGTTGTCCGACTTGACGTCGCCGTGGATATACGTCTCGAATGGCCGGCCGCTAGGCGTGAGAAAGGCGGCGACAATCTCTGCGATTGACTCGGACGAGCCTTTGACGGGTTTGCACAGCGCGTCAGACCACTCCGAGCTCTTATCTTCAACGAGAGACTGGTACTCTTTTCGCCGCGTCGCAAGGTAAGTGTACCCTCCGTTCAGCCATATGCTCCGTCCACCCTTGTCCTCCCCTTGCTCGCTTCTTATCTTGGCCTCCTGCAGTGGCGGTGAAAGAAATTCATCCAGCTCTGTTGGAAGCCATTCCCACGAACTGCCGTGGAACCTCGCCAACCAGCCTAGCGAAGAGCTCACCTGAGTCTGGTTCAAGCTCTCTCGCCTGCCTCCTGGGACGGGAAATTCAGACCGTAGATCAGCCATGACAGTGGCCGTGACCCCTTTAAGCTCCGCCTCATCCACCTCGAGTCCCTTCACATCCTCAGCCTTGGCTGTGGCAACAATCTTGGCCACGGGTACATCGTCAGCGAGCTCCGGAGCAATCTTTGTGTAAAAATACTGCTCCACGCCGTAGCTCAGCATCTTGCGCAGATGTCCCTCATCTTGAACTACCTTGGCCGAACTGCTCGGTGGCGGTGGCGCGATCAACTTTAACACAAGCGGGTAGGTCCGGTCCGAACGGCGTCCAAGGAGACTGTCCATCTGCTCTGCAGCGGCGTCAGTGGTGGCGCGAGCTGTGATTGCACTGATTGAGCCATATCCTGCCCAGAGGGATTGCATCTCACGGTATGAGACAAGCTCAAGAGATTTCTTGGAAAGCAAGAGCGAGGCCACCCGCTCAGCCCGGCTGCATTGGGCCGCCGGCGCCATTGTGTCAAGTTCCTGAACAGGCCCGTTACCGTAGACGTAGGGGAAGGGGAAGGCCAGAGACGAGGGATCCTGGTAGTAGTGCCCTGCCCAGGAGTGGCACTGTATCGAGCCGGAGGTGAAGAGGGCGAGGGCCAGGAACAGGATTGTTGGTAGATTCATCGTTCCGAAGCTTGACCGTCAAAGATAAGTCGAGTAAAAGCGGATCAGCTAGTGGAGCCAGAGCAGCTGCTTCTTTGGCTGATGGCGCTATTCATCTGCTTGGCCTGCCGTGTGGAGGGATGGGTCACGAAAGAGCAGCTGGTGGTAGTTCGTTACAGATACATGGCTGATGGAGAAAAGTGAGGGAATGCCACGATGAAGATGACAGGTCGATGAAAGTCTGTCTACCTAGTCAGATGTATAATGACCTTGTATGCAGGTAATATTGGCGTAATACGATCCTCTCGTATTTCGATCAACCAGGGGCCAGCCCTATGAACAAGCACAAATTGAAGCTGAAGCGCTGAAGCCCCTGAGGCTGGGCTCAGACCACCTGGAACTTTCGCTCAGGCCTCGGCTAGGATGAAGGTTCCAGAATACACAATCACCTATTATCACACAATTGGGCCATGGTGGATGACAGACTAATTAAATTAGATGCGGTCCGGTCCTTATCTGGCCCTGATGCCCCTCGAAGGAGCACGATCTCACTGGTTTCCTGATCTTCCTTTGGCGTTTCAGATTGAGCAGCATCGATCTCCGCATGGCCAGTGGGGCAGGTCTTTAATTCCAGCTACCCGCCTTGCCGCCTGATTAGCAGCATCTGGGGTCTGGTCCGATGAAGCTCCCGACTGGTGACATCAGACATCATTAGTGAAGCGACGATTATCCCTACAGACACAAATAAAGAAAGGAATCACTCGGCACAGCTCGGTTATTTATGACCATTGATACCTAGACATACATACACATTTGATTCCCCGAGTTCCGTACATTAAGCCTGTTCACCATCTCTCTGCCTACAGCATTCACATTGACCAACAAACCATACTTAGACCATGGCGATTGCCGCATCATCGCCGCTCAAGGCTGAGCTGAGCACTCTCAGGAGAAGTTCCAGGAACATCAAGCGCGAACTGATCGATAACAGTTCTCCTCTCAAGCCGCTCAAACCCTCGCCCACGCCCCGCAAGCGCATCAAGACAGAGCACCACTCACCCAAGCCCGAGTCCTCCCCTTCCAAGAAGACAGGCTCAACTCCCAAGGCAAAACCCAAGGACAAAGCCGCCGCCCTCCAGTCCAAGAAGCTCTCAGCCTACTCCTTCACCAGAACCTCCCCCTTCCCCAACTTTCCCCACCCCACGGCCCAGGAGTGCTCCCTCGCCCTCTCCATCCTCTCCTCCCTCCACGGCGCCCGCTCCCGTCCTACCACCGCCCCCAAAGCCTCGTCCACATCGGCCGGCTGCGGCGCCTCCCCCTCCGTCCTCGACGCCCTCGTCCGCACCATCCTCTCCCAGAACACCTCGGACCGCAACTCCTCCCGCGCCAAGCTCTCCATGGACGCCGCCTACTCCCGCTCCGACAACTGGGCCGCCATCGTCCAGGGGGGCCGCCCAAAACTCGAGGACGCCATCCGCTCGGGAGGGCTCGCGGCCGTCAAATCCCGCGTCATCATCGACGTCCTCGAACAGGTCCACGCCAAGTACGGCGCCTACTCCCTCGACCACCTCTTCGCCGAGCCCGATGACGCCGCCTGCATGCGCGAGCTGCTCTCGTTCAAGGGGATCGGGCCCAAGACGGCGAGCTGCGTCCTGCTCTTCTGCCTGAGGAGGGAGAGCTTCGCCGTCGACACGCACGTGCACAGGATCACGGGTCTGCTGGGGTGGCGGCCCGAGGGGGCGGGGAGGGAGGAGGCGCATGCGCATCTGGACGCGAGGATACCAGACGGGGATAAGTATCCCCTTCACGTTCTGCTCATCGCGCATGGGAAGAAGTGTGAGGAGTGTAAGGCGGGAGGGAAGAACCTGGGTCGGTGTGAGCTGCGCAAGGCATTCCGGAGATCAAAGGTGAAGGGAGAGGCGGGTGAGGTGGCCAAACGTGAAGAGTTAGATGTGATCAAGAAAGAGGAGGAGGAAGGATAAACTTGCTGTGTCTAGATTCCAATGTAATATTACAAAATTTTCCTAGAGATTGTTTCCAAGGCCACTCGAAAGCAGTGTCTAGGACACTTTCTCGGTCTCTGTCTCTGCTAGATACACCTCTCTATATGCCTTCGTGTGTGAATAAGTTCCATCGCCAATCTATCTAAATGCCCAAAGAACAGAGATATCGCCGCTCGCTTACTCGCTCATGAACCCAAATTCCCAATATGCCAACAAAAAACGCCGTAGACTTCCCAAAACTCCCACACCTAGATTTTCCAAAGAGCTGGCCTGACATTCAGTTCCCATCCAAAGCCATACCGCACCGTTCTTGAGCGTCCCGGCCTCCCCTATGCCTCCCAGTCCATGCTATCTTCCACCATCCAATCCCACCCTTGATCCTCAACCGTCGCCTCGGCCGAGCCACCCTTCTCAGCCTCCTCCAGCTCCCTCACCTTCCCAGCCGCAACCCCATACGCCGCCTCCAACCCCGCCAGGATATTCCCCACGATCCAGCTCAAGTCGTACATCCTCAGCGGCGGCGTCTCCTTCTCCCCCGCCGCCGCGTCCTTCCACCTGTTCCGCAGCTCCTTGGCCTTCCACAGCGCGTGCCGCACCTCCCCGGACCCCAGCACCCCCCTCAGCGGGTTCCCCTCCTCCTCCAGCGCCGCCAGCACGTTATGATGGAACGAGTGGTCCGCCGTTCCGCCCGAAGACCACGAGCGGCCCCCTCGCCCGGACGAGATCTCCACCCCGAAGATGCGCTGCAGCAGCACGAGCGCCTGCTCGATCCAGGCGTAGAACTCGTAGAAATCCACCTTGAAGTTTCCCTCGGCGTGCTCGGGCGTCCACCCGCCCTCACCGGGGCTCTGCGCGCGCCGCCACGCGTTGTCCAGGTCGATCGACTTCCACCGCAGCCGCAGGCACGTCTGCTCCAGGCGGTGGAGGGCGAGGCTCGGGGGCAGGACAGCCGAGGATCTGGTCGGGGCGGTGGCGATGGTGGGAGCCGGCGCGGGGGTGAGGAAGGTCGTCGAGCCGTTGGGGGCCGGGCTGTTGTTGCTGCTCTTTCGGTGGGCGTCGTGGGGGGACGGTGAGAGGGGGACGGATCGCGGGCGCGGGTCTGGTCTGTAGTATGTGTACGGTCGGGTGCTGCTGGAAGCCCACATGGACCCTTTGAGGCCGTTGGAGCTTGCTTGGCTCATGGTTTTCGGATTGCACGGTCTGAACGGCCCGTTGTGGCTGCCTGTCGTGGAGACTGGTGATGTATCGTGTGTGTCGGGACAAGTGAATTGGGAGCGCGTCAAGGCGGCTGAATCGACATCTCCATCTAGGTCAAGAGAAATCTAGCCAATGCAGGGTGGCAGTGATTGTGCTAAATGAAAAACAACTGTTCACGCCCAACTGTGGTATAGAAAACAACGTCCCATAGCGGCTGGGGCTAGGGAACGAGGGAGCGTGGAAATGATGGGCCTTGCGTGAGGTGGGAAGTGATTGTTGGTTGGTGACGGTCTGGGCCAACATCTAAATTTTGATGTCGGCACCCGTAACAGCAACTCTAGACGCGGGGAGATGCAGCCCCAACCAACCTGGGAGACTAACAGGAGAGAGGCTTCATTCCATACCTCTCAATCAAAGCTGATGGGATTTCAACAGATTTTATAAATATCAATAACGTTGCAGATAAAACTTTTTCTTTTTACCAAGGGCTGTTGATAGCCTTCATGCATATTCCTTAGACCATTGGACAACACTGTGAGGGCCTCTACGGGCAAATGCAGACTGAATTGGGAACAATTTCAATGGAATATATACCGCATAGCAAGTAATTCTATCATATTTGAAAGGTGCAAGATAGAAAAAAAGACCCAGGGAAACAAAAAAAAGAGAAAAAGAAAAAGGAACAAATCTGGCTCGCTCCGGATTCGAAGTGACGACTTAGAGGCACAAAATGCCAAAAGCGAAGGCTTTCCACGGATGTGGAAAGCGGCACTTAGTAAAGACTTCTCTAACGAGAGTTTTTATGGAGGCTCGCTACTTCGCTGAGGATAGGCAGCAATTTCTAGTATATATACCTAACTGCTATCGCGGTTGGAAGTTCAGGCATGGCGCATCTCCTGCCCACTTTCCCTTTTTTACACACAGATAAACACATATCTTAATTACAAATTCATTCTCCCTTTCAAAATTAAATCAAAACATCGATAGTGAAATATTCATAAAAAGAAATCAGGCAAATGCAATGGGATTCGAACCAGAGTCACCAAGGCAAAACAAAAGCGAAGGCCCCTCCATCTCGTGGAGGAGCGGGCTAGCATCCTTTGCGTTAAGTGTCACTACTTCGCTGATGGAATTAGAGGCTTATTATCATTATATATCTGACCTACCTAGGTAGGTACTAGTATTACTCAGGTAGGTAGGTCGGGAATCTTCTTGAGGCCTGAAAGTGATGGCTAGGCAGTGGCCTCCGAGAGAGAAGGTTTGTGTGGATACTTGGAGCTTCCAAGCAGGCACCCGTGGATGGTCGCCCGACCTTGACAGCCAATAATAAGAGTTGGTTGGACTTAAAGCAAATATTCACGAAGCTTTCATGGACATGAACAATCCGTCTTCAGTATCGAATGAAGTGATGCTCCAATGTTCCCATTGTCGGATAGAGTTGCACAGGTATGGGGTCTAGGGTAGGCACAAAGGCTGCACGAATGCTCATAACCACACGATCTCCTGCTAGTCAATCTAAAAGCGAGGACTATAGAATTCGCTTTAGATTACAGCTGGCAGCTTTTAATCATTTGGCCCATTTATCAAGCCAGCCTAATCATGATACTGGCCTTGTGGCATGTGATGTATATATGTCATGTCATAATCATTTCTTCTACCAATATTTTCCAACTCCATCGAAGAACATTACAAAGGTGCGAATGATCTTGAGCCTTTCTCTCTCGAGTGCGCCGATGAACCGCATGAAAGAAACGCTCCAAAACAAATCGATGCAGACTGCAGCCAAATGCTCCGACAACTCCGTCCAAAAGTAAAACATATACCAACAATGTCCGCCTGCTTTCTTTAATTCGCCAATCACCCTTGATTCCTTCCACCATCCTGTGCCAAGGTGGTCCACTCATAGCGCCGCCGAGCCACACCGTCGCTAAAACAAAAAACCTCATTGTGCTGAGCTCGAGCATGATGGAGTTCTACGAACTCCTTTTGAAGATTGTCAATTTTCTCATATCTGTTTCCAGCTGCTCCTAGTAGTCGCTGGCTTTTATCTTTTTCGTCGCTTTTGCGGTACCAATATGGGTATTATGGACCTGAGAAATATTTGTCAGTAAACCGAGTTATTCACTCCGCCCGATGTGTATCAATCTCACCTTTGTTGCGAACCTCAAACTCGTCAAGGTTTCCTTCAAATGAGTCTCCAGAGGGGAGACCATTACGAACATGAGCGTCTTGCTGTTCCCTCCTAGACTGTATTGCAGAAGATGCGTCAACTTGGAGTTTCGGTAAGGGATATGCCCGGACCCCTTGCCAAGGGCTTCGATGACATCGCCCAAACAGCTCAAACTCTTGTTGATGTTCTGAGTCTCTCTTTTTCGATCACCCTCGGCCTGTGAGTGCTTCAATCGCTCCGAACCGGCCAAGTCAACCAAGTTCAGGGTACCCTCGCAGCGCTCGCCAGTGGCATAGTTCTCGCCAATGAGCTTCAGAATGAATATGCTATGAGACCGTGATGATCGCTCATTGGCCTTGGTGGCTGCCACCGATCGATTCTTTTGCGCTTCCTGGAGCATCGTCTCGACACTGGATGCAGAATTCAGAGGCACCGTCTTGCAGTTGAGGATAGTTGTCTGCTTGCGGGCGTCATCGTGCCGGATCTCCAACTTCTTTGATTTATGGTGGTGATCGTTTGGAGTGAGAAGATCGTTCAGTTCTTCATTGTAAACCTCCACGAATGAGCCCTCCATACTGTATTCCCACGACTTCTCCTTGAGTTTGGTGATGGTATCGTAAATCATGTGCGTGGCTTTGGGAATCATGCCATCGCTTGATGACATGGTGTGTGTCTTTCCTGATCCGGTCTGACCGTAACAGAAGATACATACGTTGTATCCGTCCAAGGCGCTCTGCACAAGCTGGGAAATTTCTCCAAAGACCTCTTCGTTCTGCGTGCCGGGGACGAACACACGGTCAAACTCAAAGGGATAGTTCTTTCGAGTAATGTGCCCAAGGCTGCTCTTCTCCTCTGGCCCGGCCAGAACGATTTCAGCAGAAGTCTTTTCATCAGGGAAGGACATGCCGGCCTGTTCTCCTTCTGACCGATGCAGAATAGGTCGAACTCTGCACATGACTCGGATGTTTCCCTTGAGCTCTTGATACTTGTTGAAAAGCACACGTCTCTCAGTCTCTTCCTTGATGAGTTTCTGTCGAGCTTCCTCGGCAATGCGCATGGCGTCTTGGAGGCGAGCCTCCATATTGGCAAATGAATCAGACTGCGCCTTGCTGTCTGACTCGAGAAACTCGACTTGCGAGCGAAGTGAGTTGATCTTGGCCTCCAGAGTTGTATTCGATGCAGACAACTCTGCGATATTTGTCTGCAAGCTGCTCTTGAGAGCCCTTTCACGCTCTAGATCAGACCGTAAACCCTCCATTGCAGAACGCATTTCTTGCATCTCTCTGTCTTTGCGCTGCATAGCGCTATTCATGTCGTCATGTTCACTACCCAATCGTAGCCGCAGATCTTTAATCTCACGCTCCTTCTTTTGGCGCTCATCATCGAGCTCCTGTTGGTAATGGCGGGTAAGTCCTTCTATTCGTTGTTGGTGCTCCTTGGATTCCTGGTCTTTGAGATAATCAAGCTCTTTGCTAAGATCGTCGACGGCACTGCGATGTTGGCGGGAGAGATCCTCGACGGTTTCTCGGTGTTGGCGGTTTAGGTCCTCGATCTGGCGATTTGATTCCCATTTTTGTCTCTCTAATTCGTGATGGAGATGGCGAAGGTCGTCCTTGGCCCCATCGGCTTCGTTTCTAAGACGCTCGTTTCGGCTTTCAAGCCTCTCTCTTTCACGTTCAAGTTCGGTTACTGATATACGTTAGCTCGTGAGACGCTTCTTCACCTCATTGCCGACGACTACCTACCTCTGCCTTTGGCCAATTCAAGGGCGTCAACATGGCCTTTTCTCTCGCTGAGGGTATTATTGACCATGTCCTTCAGCTCCTTGAACTGATTCTCCATGTCGCCTACTCGGCCATCCACATCGAAAGCTGTAAAACCACGTAAGTCAGATGTCTTCAACAAAAACGCTGTGGGGGAGGGCTGTTTCAAGGGCGAGTTGCATGATTTGAGAGTGGTGATTGTCTCGCCGAACCGCTGAAATTTTTCATCAAACTGCCTCTTGCTCGGCGACTGTTGAGGTGCATTCTAGGGCTCAGGCGTCGTGGTCGGGCGTGAGAGCTTGTTGATGTTGCCGATGCCGCTCCCCTTTTCCTTAACGAACCGCCTAGGAGTAGCCTGGGGCAGGGTGGGAGGACATGGAATTTCAGATCGGTGGCGAGACGAGGTTGGTGGGATCACTTGACCCCCGTGGGACGGATTTCGGTCTTCGAGACTGAGCCCCGCAAACCATTTGTTGAGAGAGCTTTCTCTGGACTTGGTGATGGGTGGTATGCGAGTCGTAGCAGCGGGCTCCGATCTCGTTTTAGGGTTGTGCAGCTGTTGTGTTGTCTGTAGGGATTGGGATAGAAGTCTCGTACTCTGAGTCTTGGAGGGTGGCTCATGCCTTTCCTCCTCATATAGCCCGTGTGCGGTGCGGGGTCTTGTGGCGGCCTGGCTCTTGGATCGGGTGTGAATGGGGCGGGCATTGTTGCGGGACGTCTTCGGACGATCGAGAGTGTTACTGCGAGGGGGACCGATGCTCTTGTTGAAGCTGTTGGTCGACGAAGAGGATGTGCTGGATGTACTAGATGCTTGTCGGGATGGTTGGTACGTGGTTGGCGGCTTAAGCTGTGGAGGGGTCAGTAAACGCGTAGCGGGCGAATGACGCAAGAAGTGCAAAGTGGACGCAAGGTATTGTGATTTGGGGAAAGGCGGCAGTACTGTTCTGTGATTGTGGTGCTGGGTCATGAGGCAGTTTCGAATTGCAGCCTCGATGTAGAGGCTGACCCGAGGACTGTGGTCTTCATCATGCAATGCTAGCCTCCGCTGGACATTCCGCAAGAGCTGCAGAATGCCCAGAGGAGATTGCGGTTCGTCTGTCGAGGACGAGTCTTCATGCATAATTTGGTTGTCGACCTCAAGGCAGCCTGCATCTGCATGACGCTTGGCCAGCGACGCGGAGGCTTTTCCAGCCGTGGCTGTTGTGACACTATTCGCAAGAGAAGACCTCAAAATGTGTGCACACCATTATGCAGCTGCACGGCAATAGGCGGTCACACAAAGAATCGGCAATCCCCTGGTCACAGGACGCGGGCATAATAAATTGAACAGCAGAACAATTTAGCCGGTGGGAGGGGAGGATCAAATGAAGGAGGGAAATGTTTTAAGAGAAGTACAACGGCGTGGAGGCGGGCGAAAATTCATGAATGACCGCAGTCGTGGGAGGGGAAAAAAGATGTTGAGGCGATCGGAATAGTCACTCACCCCAGACGCACCAGACACCGCAACCAGCGCGATACCCTGTACGTTCGATCGGGTCCCCGCTGCAGGCCCCGTGAGCCCAGTCTTGCGTGGATATTCCCCAACCCGCTCTGCCAGCTGTTTTCGTTTTGCTTCTGACTGAGTTGCTGCTCAGGAAAGGATGGGGTTAGTGACTTGGCTCGCCATGTCGTCGTGTGATTTCTCTGGTGAGGGCGGTACGTCATTACCTGGCTGGGGCGTCTCGCGCTTCAGGCCCTGAATTGAGGATTTCCCGTAGGTCTGGACGGTAGATTGAATTCGAGAATTGTTTTGCGACTCGGTCATTTCGACGAGTCCCCCGGATTCCTGGGAAGATTTGGGAGCGGGAAGGCGGCTAATCTTGGAGCTTCGCATGATGCGCTGAAAGGAGGTCAGTTTCCCAGATCTGCGGTAGCGCCTCACGACAGCCATTGACCAACCTGCTGTTCCGAGACCTCCATTGCGTCGACAGGTCTGTTGGTGTTTCTCGGGGAAGGGTAAGGCAACGTAGGAATTGAGTATTGGTTAGATCATCGAGTTCGCTCGCGGCGGATGGGAGGCAGGAGTATCGGATGTTTGTCGATCGTGAGGTGCGCGTCGAGCTGCGGCGCCGAGTGAGTCCAGCTTGTAGAGCGAGGCCGTGTGCTGGGAAGCGAAGGCAAAGCAAAGGAAGCCGGTCCCGTCGTTGAAAACCGTTAGAGATGCTTGACAGAGTTGCGCCTCGACAAAGAGTGGAACCGGCCTTTGGATATACGCCTAGTGAAGAGGCGTGTTTACGTTCCGTTTGTCTCGATGCGTGGGAGCCCCCGTCTTGTTTGTGGCTGCCCGGCAACCGTGTTATGGCCTGCGGCATCTGGGCACTGTGCTTCAGTGCTCCATCCCTGCAGCCTCGCCCGATAGCTCCCGCGGCCTTATCAGCACTTGGCTGGCTGCACCTGGCCAGTGCGTCAGATGACTAAGCACAACCCGCCCACCACACGTCGACGTTTGTGTGTGGTTGGCCCCACATTCATTCGCCCACATTCTCTCAGCTCACTTCACATGTCAGTCAGCACCAACTGGCTTGGACCCAGGCCACTGCGTCCATTTCCCAAACTCTCTGCATGCGCCTCACCGTTTCGATCCCAACATCTTCGTCGCTTTCTTCTGCTTGGATGTCCAACATATACCAACCTCGCGTGCGCAACTTATAGTATTCAAATGTCTCGGTAGCCCTGCCTACGTCCCCCCCACCGCACCCGTCACATAGAGCTACCTATCCTCAACGTCACTGAGACCGTGCACGCGACACGCAGTTCTTCCAAACTAGCCACGATGGAAAAGTTCAGCCAGTTTCGCGATCGAGGTACGGGCTTCGCTTCTATAATCCAATACTTAGCTGACACTTCTATATAGGCACGGGCATTGCGCCTTTTCTCCCTGTCTCGACGTCCCTCTCTCCGATCTCAGCCATCACCCATACCTTCCTCTTTGTCTTCCGCCTCCCATTCTTCCTCTCCTACGTCTTTTGCTACTTCCTCTTCTTCCACTGGCTCCCGCTCCCCGTCTTTATTCGGAAGATTGCTCTTTGGGGCTTGATGGCTATTCCAGGTATCTGGTGGATCGATCTCCAGCTCGACGGTGTCAAACGTGGCACCCTTGCCGAACAACCCCGTCATCGATTCCCCCATCCCGGATCTGTCATTGCCGCCAATTTCACGAGTGCCATCGACGCCGTATACCTCGCCGCTATCTTCGATCCCATCTTTACCATCTCTTACCCCAACACCAGGGAAGTTCAGCGAGTCGGCCTCCTCGGCGCAATCTCGAACGCCCTGGGGCCTGTCAAGACAGCCCCTACCAAAGATGCCAACCTTATCGACATCAAAGATCTTCTGGCCGAGAACCCTACCCGCGTCATTCTCGTCTTCCCCGAGTGCGGTACCACCAACGGCAAAGCGATCCTTCCGTTCAGCCCTTCTCTTCTCCAGACGCCGGCCGATGTTAGCATATTCCCTGTCAGTCTTCGCTACACACCTCCCGAGGTCACCACCCCTGTTCCCGGGCGATGGGTTTCATTCCTGTGGCACCTCCTGTCTCGTCCGACAACTTGTATCCGGGTCCGTATCGCTGAAGGACAGGTCAACACCTCCGCTGTCCAGGTCAACGGTGACTCCTCTCCTGGCGTCAATGGCCAGGGCAATCTTAGGCGGAGGGACGGTGGTGAAGCTCTTTCAGAGACTGAGCAGCGGGTTCTTGATCGTATTGGAGAGGCTCTGGCACGACTTGGTCGGGTTAAGAGAGTTGGGTTGACGATGAAGGACAAGCAAGCGTTTGTGAATGCTATCCATTCCAAGAAAGCTTAAGCAATGCGAAGGAATTCAGGAGCTAAAAAAACAATTGAAATCAATAAAATAGCACAAGGAAAGAGGGGGAAGAAAATATCAATACTGTCTGGCATTATAGCAAGAAGAATCATATTCCGGAGGAGTTTGTGTGCCTGCCCTTGACGTTTTTGGCTTGTGGAAGGACCGGAGTTTGCAATTACATAGTTAGGACCAGGAGACGGAAGACCGAATCCATTACATGTCATCAGTAGCTCAGATTTGTGAATGTAAAATCAAGTCGAATGAATCTTGCATTGCGGTATCACATACAGGGCAAAACGCCCCCAATTTTTAACCAAACGCGGGCTTGCCGCACCCTGAGAATACATAACTTATAAACAATTGGAAGACGCCCTCTCTTTCCTGCGTTCCTGAGCCAGTTGCCATCCTTTTCCTGTTTTTTTTATTTGTTTTTTTACTCCAGCTTGCCATCCGTCACGCACCCGTGACTGGCGTCGCTGACAAGAGCGGCGTACTTGCTCAGAGTGCCCCTGGTGTATCTGGGCTCAGGCTGGACCCATGCTTTCCTCCTGCGCTCCATCTCCTCCTCAGGGACCTCGAGGTCGACGACCCTCTTATCCGCGTCGATGACGATGACGTCGCCGTCCTTGACGAGACCGATGGGACCACCCTCCATAGCCTCAGGCACGATGTGTCCGATCAGGAACCCGTGGGAACCGCCGGAGAAGCGGCCGTCGGTCAGCAGGGCGCAGTCCTTGCCCAGGCCGGCGCCCATGATAGCGGACGAGGGCTTCAGCATCTCGGGCATTCCCGGCCCGCCCTTGGGCCCGTCGTTGCGGATGATGACGACGGTCTTCTCGCCCTTCTTGATCTCGTTGCGCTCGAGGCTGGCGATGAAGTCGGACTCGGACTCGTACACGCGCGCCTTACCCTCGAAGCGGGTGCCCTCCTTGCCGGTGATCTTGCCGACGGCGCCGCCGGGGGCGAGGGAGCCACGCAGGATGGCCAGGTGGCCGGTGGCCTTGATGGGGTTGCTCATGGGGCGGAGGATGTCCTGGTCCTCGGTGACATCGGGGGCGTCCTTGACGTTCTCTTTGAGGGTCTTGCCCGTGACGGTGATGCGGTCGCCCTTGATGAGGCCCTCCTTGAGGAGGAACTTGAGGACTCCCGGGGTGCCGCCGATCTTGTGCATGTCGGCCATGACGTACTTGCCCGAGGGCTTGAGGTCGGCCAGGAAGGGGGTGCGGTCGGTGACGGCCTGGAAGTCGTCGATGGTCAGCTTGATGCCGACGGAGTGGGCGATGGCGATGAGGTGGAGGACGGCGTTGGTGCTACCTCCGAGGATGGTGGTGATGACCATGGCGTCCTCGAAAGCCTCGCGGGTGAGGATGTCGCGGGGGCGGATGTCCTCCTTGAGGATGTTCCTGATGGCGGGGCCGACGTTCTCGCACTCGATCTTCTTCTCCTTGGACTCGGCGGGGTAGCTGCTGCTGCCGGGGAGGGTCAGACCTAGAGTCTCGATGGCCGTGGCCATGGTGTTGGCAGTGTACATGCCACCGCAGGCACCGCCGCCGGGGCAGGCGTTTCGGATGATGTCGAAGCGCTCCTCCTCGGTGATCTGACCGGAGATGTATTGACCGTAGGCCTGGAAGGCGGAAACGATGTCAATGGACTCGCCGGACTTGGAGCAACCAGGCTGGATAGTGCCACCGTAGACCATGATACTGGGGCGGTTGACTCGGCCCATGGCCATGGCGACACCGGGCATGTTCTTGTCGCAACCGGGCAAGCTGATGTTGCCGTCGTACCACTGGCCGTTCATGACAGTCTCGATACTGTCCGCGATGATCTCTCGGCTCTGCAGAGAGTATCTCATTCCAGTAGTACCCATGGAGATACCGTCACTGACACCAATGGTGTTGAAGCGGTAGCCGACGAGCCCAACGTCCTTTACGGACTTGGCGACGATGCTCGAGAGGTCGAGCAGGTGCATGTTGCAGGGGTTTCCCTCGTACCATACAGAGGAGATACCGACCTGCGCCTTGTTCATGTCGTCCTCGGACAGGCCAGTGGCGTACAACATGGCCTGGGAGGCACCCTGGGACTTGGGCTGGGTGATATTGGAGGAGACCTTGTTGAGGGTCTCATCCTTGCGGAAAGCAGTGGTCGACGAGAAGAGACGGCTGTGGGAGGAAGCGAAATCCCATTAGCATTGATCTCCAATTGGGAAAAAGACGAAAATTTAAAAAATAAGAATAAAAAAAAGATTATGTGGTGGATGTCTGGAGCGATGTGGGAGATATTCTTACCTCTGTCTCCTCGCAGCGGTGGCCAAGCTTCCAGCTCGGGGCGCCGAGGCGCTCAGACGCAAAGCTCTGGACAGCATGATTTCTGCAATTGGCAAAGACAAGCCGGAAAACACGGATGAGTGATGAGACACGGCGCAATTGAAGAGCAGCGGTGTCCCGGCAGGCCAAGCTCTTTATCACTGGCAGTCTCTGGCAGCTGCTGATAGAGTCAATCGGATTGAGTCAACGAGGGCAGCCAGGAATTGGGAAAAGTCATGAGGGAAAACCGTGGGGCAGAGAGCGATGTCGGGGCTAGAACGTGCTACGGCCGCATCTTGACGCACAAGCGCTGTATTCCAGTCTGTGGCTCTCATTAATTGCACTTTCAACAAAAAAGCCCACTCTAACGTAATGACGAGCGGTCGGCATATTACAACTCCTGGCTTATCATTGGCTGAAGCTGGTGCGGACCCGTACCGTCCGTTCCGTTGCTCGTCCGTTCATAACGCTCCCGACTGTTTTTTTTAAGGCCGTTTCTTCCACGAACCTAATTCCAAATAAGCTATTCTTATGTTATTTATATATGTTGTATGAATGCTCAAAAAATTTCATTTAATGGAAGTCAATGGATCGAAGTGGACAGTCCACAGTCCTCACTCATCTGCTGAAATGCCGACCCGTCAGCACGGGGAAACAACACAGCGAACGGCTTGGACCCGCCGATATTGGGCGATGTTTGAACTAAACTGGCAATTACTTAGATGTGAGGCCGAGTGTCTTGAGGGTCCCTTGATCCGGGAAGCCACCTGCTTCCGATTGCAATTTTGAAAGCCGATCGAGTTTGTAGAGAACTTCAATCAAGTCCGATTCCACCGTTGCCTAGGGTAGATGGGCAAATTCGAGGAGCAATAGTTAGTAGAAAGGAAACTCAGTCAGATCCACGATGGCACCGGGAATAGTTGTTATTTCCGGGCGACATAACGCGCCAAATGAGGCCTTCCCTGGCAATTCTACTGGGGTTTTGGCTCATCGCGAGTCTTGTGATCACACAGTACCTAGAAGCAGAAATAAATATGAAATGCCCATATTCAAGAGTGAGCAATGTACCTGAGGCAAGTAAATATGCGGCGACTTTTTGGCTTTTCACCCATGAATCTTTCATGACCATGGCATTGAGTCTTCAAGTCCTGTCGATAAGAGGAAACGGCGGCATGGTGTAGTCTGATATGTTTAATATGTCAATCTCACATATATATTCAAACAGGCACTGGTCATACTTCCGGATAGATAGATAAATTGGTTCACATGGGAGTAACAAGAAGAGCTATATATCAGATGAACTGAGTATATGACGTAGTTACACTGTCAACCAAGTGTCTTTCTGAACACTCGCCCAACCATCTCATCCAGGCTCTCGCCTTGGGCAAGGCCTAAGACGGAGTTCCAGTGAGCGGCGCGCTCTGGAAAGTGAACGACTTCTGAGCCGCTATAAACCGTCGCAGTCACCAACTCGTAATAAGCCGAGTCCAAATCCCCATCTGCCAAGTGCTTTGTTGCCAGAGATTGCAAATCCGTTGTGCTCATCCTCTTCATCGAGAAGGCTTTCCCAGACACCTTCTCCAGAGCTTCCCACACCATGTTTTGGGACAGGTTGAAGGAAGCGACTTGGACATATTGATTTTTAGTCTCGTCTGCATGCACCAGTACGGAGGTAATGGCTTCCGCCACTTTACTCAGAGTTGTTGCCGTGAATTTTTGGTTGCCTGAATCGAATAGTGTGCCCGAGAGTGTTTTGATGTCCCAGCCCAGCAAGCCGCGGCCTTCTCCCAACATCTTCAAGGAATAAAGGTTTGGTAAGCGGAGGTTTAGTTCTGTGAAAACGTCCTGCTAGACTGAAATGATTTTGTAGAGGAAGAAGAAGAATCACTAACCCAATCTATCCATGCTCCTGTGCATAAGGAGGTCCACGAAAGGCCTTCTGCCCCCTTGGTTCGAAGATACTGAACCACCTCCTGTCTGCCTTTGAGAAAAGGAGCATGCTTTTCAAGGTCCTCTACTGAAGTGTCACTCCCGAACTCACTAGGGAGAATTCTCTTGACTTTTGAAGCGACAGCGGCGTCGATCACTGTTTTCTGGTCATTGATGTCCATGGTAGCAACAGTGGCAATGGTTGAGATAACTGCGTCCTGGCCAGCGAAGGCTTCGACGAGAGATGAAAAGGTGTAGTCGGAGTGCACCACCGGGACGTTTTCGAATCCGTGAGCAGATAAGGCCGCCGAGCCTCGACTTAGAATTGAAACATTGAAACCGGCATTCACGAGAGATGGAACTACGTAGGAGCCCAGATTCCCAAGGCCCTTGAATATTCCATTAGCCTTAGGGTACACCCCATTCGCCTATAGTTCAAATAGCCGTAAGAGTTACATACCCCAAGTACTATGACTGTATTGATGTTTTGAACCATCTTGAAAGTGACGGGGCAAGTAAATTTGGAAGTCTTTAATTATCAGGTATAGGAAAGAATTGTAGAAGTGGGAGTATAATTCAAGCCAGGAAACTGGCAAGTCTGGATGGGAGGAACAACCCCTATTTATGCTTTCGATTCGGCGCAAACTATTGCACATGATACAGCCCGCCCCTTTCCAATGTGTATCTGTTGCAATATCGGCTACTCTCTTTGCCATCTTGACTCTTGTAAGTCATGCCTCACCTGTGATAATGCGTGGAGTCTAAGCCTTATTCGGCTCTCATCTCTCCGTGGTCCCCCCTGCTGCCGCTGCGGAGACTAAGACACTTTCGGCATCAGGGTTGCAATATCTCCGCCAGATTACCACTTCGTCTGAGCGGCTCATCAACTGCGTCGAGGTTTTAGTCTTACAAAGGCTGGGTGGCATGATCAGGTCTGGCTGGTTCTACGTGCCCGGGAGCCCGTTCGTCTTCTCTCGCTTGCTACGCTCGTTTGATATGATTAGCTTCTCTTAGCTATCAGGATATGCCTTTGTTGAAACGATCCTGCGAAGCCTGCGCTCGTGCTAAGCGTAGGTGCAATCTTGGCTTTCCTAGGTGTGCAAGATGCGATCAAAGACAAATCAGCTGCTCCTACATCAACGAGCCTGCAGAAACCGCAGTTTATCACCCGTACCAGCAGCTCACATGCGTTGATAAAGAGGACCGAAGTTTAGGCTTCGAACTGGGATTAGCTACCACCATCACTGTACAGTATTTGGACCGTTGCAGCTCACATTTTGACAATCTTCCGATCCCTGAGATTGTCCGATCATTTGATGCAAACACGACTCAAAGGCTGGTCAGGATCCTGCAGAGTTTCCCTGGCGACTTTGCCAAGAGCGGTGCCACATCATTTGTTCACCCAGCTCTATACGACATGCAGCTGCCCCCTCCGCTGAAGAAAGTTCGTGATATTTGCGGGTACTATCTTAGCCAGAAGGGTCAATTAACTGGCACGTTACACCGCATTCTCCAGCTTGAAATCAAGTTACTATTACGTCAAGCAAAGCGAGCAAAGTCATTCATAGAACTGCTAGCTTGCTCCCAGGCCCTTGTCTTAGCACAGCTGCTTCGCCTTCTCGAAGGTCAAGGCGAGGCTAATCTGCACGGCGCTGAAAGAGACAACAAACTGATGCAAACCCTTTCATACCAGCTATGGGAGGACGCACCGTCACATTTACCGGCCGAAATGAGCGCCTGGAGAGCTTGGGTCTTTGCCGAGAGCGTGCGCCGAACCATAATGGTGTGCAGCATCTTTTTGATTACCTACGATGTCCTACGACGCGGACATGCCTTGCAAGCGCTGTGTGTCGAGGCTTTACCTTTTGATGTGCGCACCCAGCTATGGGACGCTGGTACTGCAGATGACTGGCTGGCTGCGTCATCGATATGCCAGGGGCCATCTCTCGTGACAATACATGAATTTACGTCTCTGCGGCAGCAGTCAGCAAATGTCTCTGCATTTGAGAGCTTGCTGCTTCTTTCATTCGACCGAGGGCAAAGGGGGACTGCATGATGTGGCAAAAGTGGCGAAATTGGCGAAGAATAGCGATCATTACCTCACAAAGAATAAAAGGCCAATTTTCCGAGTTATAAATATCTAACTATTGGTTATATCAGGGGCAGACGTCAGCAAATAGTCCAGTCAACTGCCCTGATTATATCCAATCCTTGGTTTTGGAAGGCGAGATATGAGAAACAGAGGATTCGACAGGGATCTACCTAGATGAGCTCAGGAGATGCATTCGATCCAATATTCCTTAAAAATGTAGTAGCTCTTCGTATTTCAGGTTAAAGTAGAAACAGTTGAGAGCTTTCAACCTGTCAGTCGGATTCGTGGCGAAGTTCAAGCGAACGGCGCTTAGAACGGAGTTCTTTCACAGACTATCAAGATCCAGGTGTCTTGTTGTAACATGTCTTGTTCGTGTCAGAAATGACCTTGTAGGCTCATATGGGCTCGAGCGTATGATGGCTTCTGGGATTTGACATACCCGGGATTCTCCAAAATCTCCGTTGCCTGGAGGAGAGAGGCATTCTGGTATCCCAGAAGAGAAGCTCACGTCGCGAGATTTTGGGTATGAGCATTGATCAACATCGTATTCAACTCTTGGGTCAGCTCAGCAGTGCATTAGTCTCGCGTCGGGCTTGGCTGTGAAGCTCCGTGTCCGAAAACTTTGCCTATTGGACATACCCCAGCTGCCTGCACCATGTGTAATGTGACACGATCCAATGTCAGATGCCGGGTCGTAGGATAGGAGGCTCCTGGGCGGCTATGCAGTACTTGGCAACAGTGATCATCAGCCAGTCGTACGTTTAATCAACGGTGTAGCAAGTAGGTCCGTGCAAGCCGACTGTCCCGTGGAAATCATGCAGGTACCTCAATACGAGCAGCGTGCAGCAATTGCCCTGGCAGCGGCATCAGATACTTGCTAGTGCTGACAGGCCAGTATGGGCGGTATGTACGCAGACAGATATATTCCCCGACAGTTCGCAACGTAGCATTCAAATGATCGGCATTACTAGGGCTGACGAGGAGAAACAGTTTAGCTGCCGTCCCCAACCCCAGGACAACTGGCAGTTAGTTCGTATCGATACGAGAAAATTGCATCATGACATTGTTGATCGGCATTTCTGCATAGCTCGTTGCTTTAATTAGACGCCGCAGTGAGTTAGACACAACGTCTACCGACACAATCTGTTGTGTTAGAAAGCTTATAAATATTGATGTCCAACGCCACTAATTGCTTCAACACTCATCCATCACAACTCCATCACTCGCTTCCAATACAAACCTCAGTTCACACCTCTCAATCCTATCAAACCTTTCAACACAACCAACTTCCAATCAAACCTTCAAGATGCTCTTCTCTACTTCCACCGTCGCCGTTGCCGCTCTCTCCGCCTTCAGCTTGGCTGCGGCTCAGCCCGCTGTCCCCCGTGACGCTCCCGAAGCGTACGTCACCATCGAGACCAATGCCGGCAATGCCTTTGGCGATGTCTGCCAGAAGACCGTCAGAGTCCCTATTGGTTCCGTCTACACCAACGTGGAGGACCTCGCCAAGGTTTCCACCCTCCGCCTGAAGGGTGCTGGTGGTGTTGACGAGAACACTGTTACCTGCACACCTTACAAGAACAACGACGGTACTGGTAGCGGCGGCCTTCCATTCTCCAAGGAGACTCCCTCTTACCTCTCCACCAACACCGTTGTTGTGGGCAGCATTGTTTGCAAGACCGAGTAAAGGATGTCAAGTCGAGTGCAGCAAGCGACTTCACACAGACCGTTCGATACACGATCGAGGGGAGAATGGCGGGAATAGCATCTTAAGGACGGTTGCGCAGCCGTTCTTTTGGAACATCTTGAGCCTTGTTTAGAATTTTCCTTTTTGTTCTGTTGATTTTTATAGAATAATTTACAAAGAGTGTGCACACTACTTACTTTGAAACCGCGGGCATGTGTTGCTGATCGTAAACTCCGTGATTTCTTGGGTAGATGAATCTTCAAATGACCGAAGGTGGTCTCAATCCATTGACGCCGTCTTACCAAAGAGTGAACCTACACATTGAAAGCTCCATGGCCCCAACGTATTAATAAATTAACAAGGACGAGGCTGCGGATCCCCAGACCTTCAATATCTAACTTCCATCATCTCGGACTGGGGTTGATGTTTAATAAAACATTATCAATCATTTCAAGAGATAGTTACAGAAGGCTATTTAATTGTGTTTCGTAACATGTAACTGACCACACTTTCTTTCCTTCTGCCATTTGCCATTCTTCCCTTCTTTTGTCTCCAAAAAATTCAAGCCCTCAAAAAGGATTGGTTTCGTAGTGGCTCGATAAACCCGACCCAATTGTGTTCGTACCGATGCTCTTTGGCCGATTCATAGCCAAAATACCAGAGCCCAAAGTCGGGGAGCTTCCGTATCTTCTTAGCGGGCTATGCCTCGGCGAGTAATTAACATGTGCTGCTGATGGCGGCGGTGCCAACTCAGCCCTTGCCCCATCTTCTTCCCCATCATGGTTATCATGGAGCATAACCATATGTCGTATGTCGCCCTTGGTTATTGGCCTCCTCGTGCCTACGGAATCGACATCTGTCCTGCTCGGTGTCTTTATGTATCCACTGCGATCCGAGCCAGAAAGCCACGGGACGTAACGCTTCAGGAGAACCCAAATGGCTGGTAGGCACGCCACAATGACCGCAACAGCTACCTCGAGGCCGGTCCAAACTATGAGATCGACATACTCCCAAGTGGGGTTGGTGTTGGAGCGGTCGAACTTTATGATGTAGAGCGTTCGGAGACACGAGATGGCCGTGGCGAAGAGGCCGAGGCTGAATATGAAGACCAACCCAATCTTGTCCCGAATGTTAATGGTGAGCTGGAATAAAGAAGGGAGAGGGAGGATAAGGATGACTAAATCTTGGACGATGCTGAACCCAGCTGAGATGAAGGCTAGGTGGTTGAGGTTCAAACAGTAGCCGACGTAGTCTGGCTTCTGCCAGCCCTCCCAGATGTATGCAATCGGAATACACTGGAATATTTGTAGAAACATTATTACAAAGGTAGGTAGAATGGTCAATAGTAAGGCACCATATACGGCTGAGCGAAATTGTTGACTAGGAAACATCCGGAGGTATAAGAAGAGTATAGAAACTTTGCATAAGCACAAAGTTACTACGTAGAGGGACTCGTTCACGTAGAATAACTATCATTGTCTCTCAGTATCAAGTTGGTAACACCATTTTAAGAGCAAATCAAGAGTAAGGACCACTGACCTTGAATGACATGGTTAAGGCATCTGGATCTAAAGTCCATATATCAACACCAAAAGACCTTTGACCAACTAAGGTACCGATAGTGTTAGCAAAAGCTGTACCGCATATCAAGAGATATTCGGCAGAATAATCCACATACCGTATTGTCCTAGCACCATGAATGCGCTGTATAGAACCTAAACAATTAGTCAGTTTGCGGTTCACTCGGTTCGAGGGCGTAAATGCAAACGAATAACCACATACTCCAACAATTATTGTTATCCAGTCATCAACCTCCAATCTGTTGCTAGTGGTTAGCCTCGAGTAAAGATGGACCCAAGGACATGCCCAAGCAGGTATCTCGGCTGCTAGGGGTATCAATAGAATCCCTTTCCGGCTTCGGGTAGGTCGATCGCAGGCTTCGTCTTCGATTTTCTTGATTTCTTGAGAACATCATTAGCGTATGCTACAAAATATGTGATGGGAACCCCACAAACGTACCAAAAGCCTCGCGTACCGTACACCTGCTCTGTACACACTGGGATGCTAAGGGTTGGAAAGTCGAATCAGTGCAGACGCAACTTAGGTCTGCTGGGCTGCACGTTGTATTCGGAACAGTGGCTGTGAAGCAATCGAGCTGCTGATGGGTTAGGCCTTTGCAAGTTATCGAAGGCATTGCGGGGGAGGATTGAATTGGCGTACACCACAAGAGGGCAGCTTCGTGAGCTCAGCCGAAGCATTATTATCCCCCCGGACATTATGAGGAAAAGCAAGAAATAAAACGAGTGTTGCCACAAGCGCCCGAAGTCGAGCCATTCCGGGAGTATCGTGGCTAAGTATCGTATGCGAGAACTATTGAGATGCCTTCGTTTGCTCGCATAGAAGGAATTTCCCAAGAGCTAACCCTATCCGATGTTCACTCGTGCTCGAATCTCACGAGATTAAGTATAATAATACAATTATCGATTGCTTGGAACGAGCGTGATGAAAGAAAAAAGGCGAGAAAAAATTAACCAAAGAAAGAATGTTGGAAGAAAGCAAAACTCATTAGGACTTGGAGGAATCGTGCCTGATGTATACCAACACCGTTCACTAAAAGAAAACCGGAAGTTCCAGCGAGCACTTGGAGTAGTAATGGCATAGGAGCCGTCGTATCATCTTATTACATATTTTGAGAATAGCAGGGAGGGGAAGAGGGTCCTGCCAGGGTGAGGTGAGTTAGGAATAGGAGTGCCGTTGGGCTGATCCACCGAGTTCAAACGACCAAGGCAGCTATGCAGATGGGAAATAAAAGTACCTGTTAAAGAAAGGCCTGGCTCGAGTCAAGTAATGACAAAGCAGAACAGGGAGTGGGATGCTTCACAACACCACTAGGTGTAGATGTTGCATGTCAATGTTATGCATGGACATTCTTCCGACTAGTAGTGCTAGAGACCGCAGCTTAACGCGCCTCGTACAAATGCCAGAAAGAGGTGATCTGCACTGTTGCCATCACAGATAGACAAGGATTCCCACACATGTCATGCTAGTATCACCATTTGGCCCTGTTGCTGGCGAAGGGTCAAAGCCGGTAGCCACCAAGCTGCATTAGCGAGGTCTGGTGCCAGGATTTTCATACTGCGTGCAAAACTGAACCGAGCCGAATGAATGTGAGGTCAGTTCCATGCTCTTCCAGGTCAACCCAGTTCAACACAGGTCAGTTTAGCGCAGGTTCGGTAGTTTGCTAGACAGTACAGTCCTAGATGGGATAGGGGACTACGGATGTGGTACATTAGGCCGGGCATTGTTGCCTCCCATACCTGCCGGTTCAAACTGAGGCAGAGCATGAGTGAAATTGAAGTTGAAGCCACTGGGAGAGGACGTGCGGGGCTGGTGAGTGATCATTGATGCGTTGCAGGGTTCAAGGAATAGGCTGAAACAAATCGTCACAGAGCGAGGTATCATCATCGCCCGCGCTAGGGGAAACAAACATAGAATTTTTGACAGACCAGGTGCCACACGTGGAAACTGTGTCAAGGAAGACCTTGATCCGGGAGATTGAAGGGATAGGGTCAATCATCAGCCACCATACTTAAGGGCACGCGGCATGGTGCCGAACATCGTCGCGATCCGCCCCCTTTAGCTTGTCACAGTGCTTTAGTTCGTCTCAAGATAATCCCGAATTTGAGTTCCCCTGCTACGCACTGCAGGCTAGATTCGGCTCCCATTGTGAGGCATCGAGCGGCGCTTATCCGCGAGCCCCGGCGCTGAGAAGGATCCATGTCCCAATCCTGGCCTTCGGCCTATGTCGAAGTCTAAACTTCCCGAGATGGTGAGCGATCAGAAGCCAAAACATGCGGGCCTCTTTAGCATTCATGCAACGTCTTAGTGGTTTACTCGCCATGCCTGCATTATCAACAAGCGCTTAGTTGCTCTGTCTTGGGTTTACTGAAGGCGGGCAACCGATTTTGCAGCCTGTGTTTCGTCGGGTATGTTGGTTTGGAGCATCATATCCACTGGCTTTCTAGCCAAAAAAGAGTACATGTGCAGTAGATACTGATATATTTTCGACTATATCTGCCTTCTTTCCAATTGGCTCAGCATCGAGATGTTTACCGTCTGCCTTCTGTTTATCTCTAGATTCCTAGTTGTGACTTTCCCCATCCTGAGGTACAAAAGTTCTCTCATGAAGATACGCACAAGCGATAGCAACCCCCTCTCGATAATTTTATGGGCTCTGTTAGAACGCCCGATGTTTTGGGCACGTCTGGCTATTATGATACCTCGGATACTTCATTAGCTTGCCGAGGTTTGCCCAAACTTGAACTCTCATCCGCAAGCCCCCTTACCTTGCGTGGATTTGCTACTTCTGAGCCTATAAATGCTTTTATTAATATTAAAAAAAATTATTCCAAATATTTCTAGACCGCATCTTTTTTTATAAACTTGAAAAAGTTTCGGTTTGCTTCCATCTCACAAACAATGGGTTAGCATCTGAAACAAACGCGACCAAGTGCCGTACACTAACCACGCGCCAGTGACATTTCTCTCCTACCCGTAATCTACCGTCTCCTCACTGCTTGGTAGGTTGGGTATTGCGACTTAATGCTCTTCTGTTGTGGCCTGATTTTGATGGTGGCTGTTAAACTCTCCTACTGCCTTAGCCACAGCAGCGCCTGATCAGTCTTCCTTAAAACTAGAGTTTGCCCTCAGCGACCTCAGTCTATAACTCTGGCTACGTGGGCAAATTAGAGTCACAAAAATGGATTTCTAAAGGTCCCGAAAACAGTGTGTCGGTCCCTTGACCCCGGGCGCTGAACGTCGAAGCACTTCGCATCGCAGGTGGGGTCCCAGGATAAATCTAGTAACTTCAACTGCTTAATATACCCTCTACCGCTCTCCGTCTGGCTTCTGATGAGAATTCGAAAGAAGAAGTGGGAGAATTCATGCGGAGGTCAAGTCTACGACGACAAACAGAAGAATGAACCATCAGGTTACATTGGTAGGTACGGGATACTTCGCATCAACTGTAATAGAAGTGAATAAGCAAAGCACTCATGATATTGCCCTCCGTTTTCCTAAATATCTCTATGAGATCTCCTAAAAATCTCCGCCTTTTCTTCTCTTACTAGTGCTGTGATAAAATGGGTTTCAACTCCCAGAATAGCCATTCAGAAGTTATTTAATGAAGAATACGGCATTTTATCCAGGTAATGTAGAAGATGCGCACCTGTGATGGGAATTGCTCTTTTGAGTGATGTAAATAGAGGGTTGAACCAAGGAGCTCCTTTTCTCTAGCAGAAAATACCACATGCTTCGACGACCACAGTCTTTTATCGTATAATCAAACTACAATCTAATGTTCTTTCATCACAATAGGTGTCTAGTAGGGAGAGATCTCCGTGATATTTTGTGGCTTTCGTGATCAGATACAATTGTGTGATTGATTCAGAACTTGAAGGAGCTTTGACCTCTTGTTCCAGCTTCTTCCTCATCATATTCATTCAAGGATCTCGTATTGTCTGCTAAGGCCGCCCTAGTAATTAAACTCCTCGCGTAGGGTATCCAGATCCTAGCTCTCGCCAGCGCTCCGAACTTCGGATAGGTATGTCTCTACCACAAAATGAGGCAGCTTAATCTAGTCCTCTACCAGCAGCATCGCTAAACCTCGTTTTCCTTTTGTTGTTGGCGGGAATCTCTTGGCATGAGAGTAATTAAACATCAACTTGAGACTGTAAGACTAGAACCGCCGTTGGAAGTACACCACGCAGCCTATTATTTCGCTCACAGGTAAAGGGAACAAGAAATCGAGATACGAAACCAGCTTCACCAAATACCCAGGGCAAACCCTAACTCTTTCATTAACATGTTTCCAACTATTAGCTTTAAGGCATAAAAGTCAAGGCGGTAGTTAATTGTTAGGAGACGAGGACAAGCTTTATACTGCTACCCCAAAAAAATCAGACCTGCCCTAGGTACGCAGACCCAATACATCATATAATAAAGTCATGAGCATGATGGATTTCTCTACTTTGGTTTTGGATATAGGGTAAGATGTGTTAGGAGAGGACTGCCTCAGCAAGCTCAGGTTCACCAGGCAACTCCCCAAAAGCAAATCAGTCTCCACGTTGATTCATTTGTCATCAACTTTCTCCTCTCCTTTTCCTCAGAGGAGGTTCTTTCACCTACTCCTCTCTACACATCTCATGTCCAAGTTGTAACTCCTGCGATGGCGCCCCCAAAAAGCGATAAAGACCCTCTCCCCTGTCCCTCGTGGATTTTTTCTACTGGGACTAATGTTCAGTATGCCCCAGCCAAGTGCTACTCCACAAGAGCTTCGCTCTTCAACTGACCGCTTCAGTGTCGCCAAGGATCGATCATGGTTCGCTGATGATTACACGTCGATTGAATCGTTTATAGAGGGCCGGTTCGGAGATCAACTGCCGGTCATCGACATAGGCACGGTCAATCTTCCCACCAAAGTTGCCGCCAAGAAGACTGGCCTAACCTCGCATGGAACACTTCGTTTGGAAAATGTGCTGCATGTCCCTAGCGCCCTCTGCAACATTGTGGGCACTCCTATCTTCGACCCCTTCACTTTCTCGTTTTCATCCAGGGCATTCACGGATCCCGCCACTGGCCGTCAAGTGGCGTATTGTAAGCCTGATACAACGCTCCTGGAAATCCGACTCGGCGGGCCCCCGGTTGGACTCCCGGTTGGACCCTCGCCTTTTGATCCATCAGCAATGTATTCGATCGGCGCCCTTTGGCCTGAAAGCGAACAGACACGGGTCGCCACTGGAATCAAACGCAAGAATGGCATTGCATCCATATCACACGGGGTTTTCGGCGAAGATGAGACTTCCGAGCAGGCTCGATCTATGTTGCGAAACCTCGTGTTAGAAAAGCTGCGTAACTATGAGGATGATAACGAGGACGAGGGCGACTCCTCCAAGAAAGGAGATGAATCTGATCCTGACGTCCAGTATGTTGATCATTTGTTTACGAAGAAGCAACTGCGGTGGATCAAAGGCGACTATGGTAGCTCGGTAAATTTCATGCTCTCATATGGGCTCACGTTCTACAAAGATGAGGACTGTGAGGAGGCCCAGGCGATTGCCAATGCCTTGACCATGGACGACTCTGACGATAGCGACGCCGACTTCACAGATAGCGAACATTCTTTCCAAGAGCCTGTGCTTGAGACTAACTATCTTTTTTCCCCAAAGCAAGTTCAATGGCTAGAGAGAAAATACGGCTCAACACAAAATTTCATGGTCGTTCAAAAGCTAAATGCCGTTTTGGGGTCAGATTGCGATGATGCCCGGATCAGAGCCAAGGCTCTAATGGCTGAAGCTGGTCTTACCGACGATGACAGCGACGCCTTCTGGGTAGAGGAGGATGACACTCAAAACAACGCGACCGACCGTCTGTTTTCACCATTAGAGCTTAGATACGTAAGATGCTGGTATATCAGCTCGAAGAACTACATGGCTATCTTCGGATATGATGTTGCAGTTGAAGCGGATTGCAAGATGGGTCAAGCCTCGATCCAGAGCGAAATGAAGAGTGAAGTTGAGATGGATGGTAAATGAATGAATTTAATAATGATATTCACCGTAGACTTCTACTAGATTTAGAAATTTATGAATTGTGGATTTAGTGCTCTATCTAAAGAGTGTTTCAAGTCTTAACCGAGCATAACACCAATGGTGTTGGGAGAGACCAGTGAGTGGTTGACTTTAGCAACACCAATTCTCTGCCAGATGAGTGGAACGGTGCCAGGTGCAACCCGTATTAATAAAACATAATAAGCTGGTCCGCTGGACGAACTGTCCCCTTTTTCTTTGCCGAGCAACACACACTTCCAATTGCTGAAGCCCTCCTTCTGAACCTCGAAGTCGAGAACAAGATCAACTGTCTTACTCCAGGAACAAGTGATGAAGTCACTTGCCCTAGCGGAGAGGCGGCCATCCCATTCATCGGTTAATTCAATTTCCATAGAGGTGAAAGGGTTCTTCAGGTTGTCTAACCAAATCATCCCGTTGAAGGGAACATCCATGTAAGTGATTGCCCCAGCACAAGCCATCCAAGACCAGGACGGAACACGTCGTTCTTCTGGTCGGAAAACCTGAGTAAGCTTCCCAGGTTCTTGGGCTCGCCAAAGAAGCATTCTGAAGAAGAATTGCCCAAAGATGCCATGCTGGGCCTGGGACTTGAAGACACGACCTAATCGCCGCTCAAGCCCTAGAATGGCTTTGGGGCGATCTGTTGGGTAGGACAGTCCGAGACCACTGTAAAGCTCATAGAGGTGTTGTATAAGTCGGATTCTTTCATCCTTGTAGTACTGAAGGCCGGAGTTGGGAAAATCTGCGTCCCCCAGGAACTGCGACTGAGGACTATCACACAATCAGAGTTAGTCATGGACGCTTCAAAGCTTTGACTACTTATTCCTTGTTGGTTGAGTTTGGGATGCTTACTTTTTCAGCTGGGCCAAGGTTTCGCAATGAATCGTCTCCCCGCATTCCCAATATATCTGCGTTGAGGTGAAATGGAGAGTACGGCGAGCTAGCGCTCTCTCCTGAAGTACCCATCCGCGTGAGTTGAGAAGACCTTGCTGTACATGGGAGTCGAAGTCATCGATGGCTCTGCACATGTAGATGGGGCCTTTAGGAGTCTGTACAGTGACGGACTCACGCGGTTGTGTCCTCCCCAGAAACCCTTCCAGCGACGAGGCGGCAGAAGTGGCCGCTAGAACGCAGTACGCGGAATTGAACACGTCTTCCATGCGAGAAGATTCCTTCTCCCAGTCTTGAGCGTTCCCTTGGATGATACACAAGGAGTCAATCCATAGATAAGGAACGCCGATCGCACGCGTGACCCGTATAGCATCTCGGAAGCTCTTCGGGAGGTAGTCGTAGGGAATACTTTCCTTGAAATCGTCGATGTTGCTGTCGAGAGTACAGAATTGGACATACTGTGAAAGGTCTCCCCAGCGGTGGCTCAAAGCAACATATTTGTCCTTGGGGAGCAGCGCAGATTCCACGAGTCGAACGGTGGAGTTTCTGTCCTTCCCGACAGCAATCATTCTTGTGGGCATCTGCCCGGAAGGAGCACGCCCATCTTGCGTTTCAGTCATACACTTGTGCTTCCCATTGCACTCGTGTATCCAACTATTTAACAATTGGAATTGCTGAGGACTAGCTGGGCTAGGGAGCAGTGGAAGGCCAGGTGGTGGATATGATCGATCTTCACTGGCTGGACCTGGAAACTTCTTAGCTTGGAGTAAGAACACACTAAGAGGCTCACTGAGAAGAAATACCTGGATTAGAATACATTGATATCAAAGAAGGGCCTTGAGGCGAAAGTCGAAAGCCATGAGATTGCTCCTCTCGGGATAGAGTTATTAATTCGCCGCTCTTCAAATTAGCGCTTGAAAGACATTGGAGCAAAAGCCTACACAGGCTACACGCCTGGGATCCACGTTTTAGTTCGTCGATGTCACGATCAAGTTCCCATATGTGTGTCTCAGGATTCCAGTTATTGCATAATTCGCACAACACTGACAGCTTTGGTGGTGGCCTAACAGATGGCCAACCAAGCTCTTCTATTATTCGGTTTGCTAGAGTTCTGTCCGTGGTGTTCTGCCATTCGTCTTTGAGCTTGGACGTATGCTGATGGCATTAGAAACTTGGTGAACACATATTTAGGTACCCCGATGTAAAAAATACTTACTGGCTGATAGATGTCAGTATTAATTGGAATAAATTCGAAAAGAAGGGTGATTGCTTACATTCTTTATACCAAGACCGACTCACGTTAGTAGTTTAACACCAACAACAGCGCCAAATTGAGCTACTTACATACTTATTTAGGGATTGTTAGTTCAACCGTTTGTACTTCTTTGACTTGAAACGGGTTCTTCTCACTTTATTTGAAATGCCAGTTCTTTCCTGGTCCATCGGAGTCGAGGATCCATCTTGTTGATTTCGGTCTGTTGCTTGAGGCGGCTCAGGCCCATCCCGCGAAATCTTCTCGTGCAAACGTTGGATGTCGGCGAGATCTTCCAATATGCGATGCTCTTCGCTCGGGTTATAAGTTTTCCCGGCGATTAGAAGCTTTGTCTCGATAAGGTCAACCATAGGCCGGGTCAAGTAAGCCAAAGGCGCCTCTTTTCGCAATTCATCCATTTTTTCGAGAACAACATGATGGACCTCTGGCACATCCTCGGCTCCATAAGCCCAGAACCTCTTGAAGTTGTTCTTATCCTTGAGTTTCTTCCGGAATTGAGACAGGCCGTCATACCCTTCGACAATCCAGATAGTGAACTCAAGGAGCACGCAGCCCAAAGACCAGTTGTCATAGACTCGCGAACGCACCAACTTCTCAGGTTCAGGTGGCTGATAGTCAACCGTGACGCTCTTAGTTGTTGTATACTTGGTTCGATCCAGCGTGTAAGCTTCATGATATTTTGCAAGTCCAACGTCGGAAATCACCAGGTCTCCCGACGCTGAACCACGAACGTATGTAAAGTGTAGAATGTTCTGGGGCTTGATGTCGCCGTGGCGAACGCCACTCTCATGGAGTCTTGTCAAAGCTCGAGCAATCCTAATCATCTGCTCTAGGGACCATTCGATGCGATTTTCTCTCCCATATGACTTGCTAGCGTCAAAATGCTGCCAAAACTGGTCGAGGTTGCCACCTGTGGCCCACGGAAAGATGAAATGTCTCTTGGTTCCGCATCCGTAAGCTGCGATGGCTCGAATCAGATGCTTTTCACCTGCTTCGGCCATGTCTGCCATTTTCTTTAGGGTCTTGACCTCTCGTCTGTAGAACTCGTCGACTTTGACTCCTGAGTCGTCGTCTTCTGTAGACAATGATTTTATTGCAACTTCAGGTCCGTCTGAGTCAAGGGAAGGCTAAAGTATACCCATATCAGAAAACATGTTCACGATAATGGAAGGAAAACGAAAAAACGTACACAATTCGACCCGTAATCATGTAAGGTGACATTCCACACGACACTGAAAAAGGAACCGGCATGCCGAACTTGGTTGGCCGGGGGCGAGTATGGAAATCGGCGACTGGGGTGAAAGACGTAGGTTGAAAATTCCCTGACTGGAAATACAGGAGCAAGAAATGCCCATTGATCTTTGATGAAGTCGTCAAGAGGCTTCTCATCGAGCTGACCGAAATATTTCGAAGGGCGCGCTGAATTGAACTGGATGTCAAGTTGGTCGGTTTCGTACAGTCTTTGGATATTGCCTGCGCTATCTTGTGATCCCTCATAAGCGATGGGTAAGTCGTCATCCGTGAAGTTGTTCTTCACTAGAACTTCAAGTAGAGGAAGGCATCCGGCGAAGATTAAAGACAGAAATAGTCTTGGTGTTTTTTCCGCTATATGGCGGGCCACCTCGTCGACATCTTGATTTTGAAACAGCTTAGAGGACGACAAAGTAGATGCCACGCTTTTCTCACTGGCGAGTTCCAGAATGCATACCAGTGGCAAAAAGGTAGAAAATTCGTCTTTTGGGTGAAAATTCTCCATGTATTCCTTTACCATGCGGTAGGTCACAGGCGGTAGAGGCGTTGTATCATCCATTGTCGGTATTTTTCAACGTTGCAGTTTATCGGGGGACGTTTTGTGTGGATTGGTCTGATATCTTGAGTTAAAGAGAAGAATAAAGTTTCTTTGACCTCTGTTAAAGTACGGGAGAGAATCGCCGGCAAGAATATAGTCATACGATCCGCCATCAGATTTGCATAGAAGTACACTTTCGCGAAAGTTAGTGTTATGAAATGCACATTATATTCGTCATAACGTCGCGGCTTTTCTCCCTCGGGTTCTATTATTTCCCCACTAATTAATATGCCCGCAATATGTGAGGAGTTGAGACTCGGGGTGTGGGTTACAACGAGGAAGGAAAAGCGCAAATCAATGGCCTGAGGAATATGCCTGCTAATCTGCCCTCCGATAACTTGCAGAACCGCTGTGGCTTTTCAAGTATCACCGATGTGGCCAGTCATCATGCAGGTTGCCTTATGTGATGTTACAGCGCGCCTGCTGGTGATAACTCCACCTCAACGAGTCGGAGAACGTCAGTGGCTTTATATATTAGGCAGTAGATGAGACTATTGGTTGAGAGGTAGAGGGACTGGTGGGTCGATGATGTGAGAATGCTACGAGGATGAGACACGAGACTATAACCTACAGGTGCCAAGAGTGTCTCTCACATGTGAGCTGTCACGCTGCCCAATTATTGCTGGATGAATTTATTCTTTTTTTCCCAGCTCATCGCGCATGCACGGGGCTTCTGCCCCTGTGGCACGTTCCAGAGCGCTTTCAGCTATCTATTTCTGACCGGCTGCGCCTTGCTGACCCTCCACTAACTACCAATGTGCAATTATTTCTCCGAAAACACATACATGCATGCTTACTCTCTGCAGGCATACGGTCAGCTGAGGGGTTGATCATAAGCCGTTGCCTGGTGGTGTATCTCACCTGTATCGTCCCAGTCTATGTGCAGACAGCGGGCAGCCGCCTGATCCCAATTATGTATTCGTCGTTTCTCATCTCAAGGCTCTGAATCTCAATGTTGTTTTTGCTGCAGAATATTTGGAGATTTCTGACCAGGCTTTGAGGATTCTTGATATGCCGGCATTGAATGCGACACTCTTCGACCGGCATCTTGACGACAAAAACAACAAGGAAACAAGCGGAGAATCTGTGAATGATCTGTTTGAGAGAAGTGTTAGGCCGGGGAGCCGCCGCTGGGGGAGAACCAGCGGTCTTTATGAATAGGTATTTACGCTGCGCCTCAGCCTGAAGCATGAATCAGGTATTGATGTCTTGCCCCTATTATCATACGGTCGGAAAGGGTCTATGTGCTTATTGGAAGCATGATGCGGTATTACGTATAGCGTCGGACAGTCAACGCGTCCAATGGCACCTCAGAGGGTGGTGGTCGCTTACGGAGTGACCGTCTCTTGTCATTTTTTCCTGCACGCTGAAGTGGCGAAGGGCACTTCGCCGCTGCTGCGTCTTCGGCCTCCAGCCACTGCAGGGGGGTGCATCCTAGTTATGTAGTATCACGCTGCATTTATGGTTCGGAGATGATCTTTTGCAGCTGATCAGCCGTGTGTAAAGCCAAATGCCAAGCTAAAGAAGAGCAGATGATTATGGAGTTCCAGAACTTGCGGCTGTAAAGGGTCTTTGGCGTTCCCCGCCTCCGGCAACCATCCCTCGAGGCTATTTACAAATATAGAATGGATAGTGGTGCATAGTCATACGGGGGCCGATAATAGCCTCCATCTCCAGCCCTGGTTGCTGCAAGGCAATAGCCAGCCCACAGGATTGCCGCTGAGAGGAGCAGGGGTGATCAGCTACAACCCCAAGAGGCAACAGGCAAACACAGTCTAGGAATCTAACTGCGACGGTTTGTTGGAAACGAGGCTCGCACTGTGATCCTGTGCTAGGATGTGGATTTCATAGGATCGATAGGCGAGGGGCTATTTAGTATCATTGCTACCGCACTTCTGATGCGATTCAATACGGAGATGGGGAGTAGTTATCCATTCAGTTGCTAATCTATAAGGCGGCCTGTAAGGCAACTACGACATTCGATAAGCCGAATCTCCTAGATATTGATTCTGCCTTCCCCTTTTTGTTCTTAATTTCCCTTTTTTTTCGGCACTTTGCATCTTCCCACCATGGATCCAGATGATCTCGTCACAGATCGGGGGTTCGGCGAGTGGGAGAGATTACTCAACGAAGGGTGCAAATTCCCCCCAGCTGCAAGAGAGCGGGAATGTCAAGTTATTGAGCGTGGGAAATATAATAAATCCGTTAAAAGAACCCTTGTGAGTGAAATACAATGGAGAATGGGGGTGTCTCTCACTAAAAGCGAGGGATTTGCAGGAGAGTCGTTACTATAGTATGATTAGCGCCGAGCTCCGTCCAAAGGAGTCTCCTCCAAGAAACCATTACTTTCCCCTTTGTGGTTTGAAGCACGTTCTCAGCCGCGAGAATTTGGAAGAGATGAGGCAGTGTTGGTTTCCGGATGAGGACCCTGTTGTATGGTACAACCAGATATGGGGAAGTAGCTTGCAGACGAGTCGTGCCCGGATATTTGCGCTTCTTTTACGGTTAGAGAAGCCCCAGCACATCACGTTATTTTATTGTTACAAGTTGTTCGACTCGTCGCTTCCTCTTTCACGAACTCATGCGGTGTTTCAAGCGGAAGGGTTTACCGACAAGGATGCAGATTCATTTGTTGAAAAGCAGGAAATGGTCCTTGCTCCCTTTTTCCATTTTAACTCCCAAAAGATCAAACATTATAAGCTCAACAATGAGATGCCGATACCTCTCTTATACAAAGAGCAGGTTAAGGGAGGATCGGGGACGCATGGGCGAGTTTGGAAAGTGTTATTCCATCATGATCACTACTATTGTGAAGAGCACGAGGTACAAAAGCCGCTTCCATATACTGGATGATATAAGATGGCCCCCGCACTTCGTTCATTGACTAATTGTCGCATAGAAATGGGGAATTCCTGGGCCGTTTTATGCGTTGAAAAAATTCCATCGTGATCGCGAATCTAAAAAGAACGACTTTTACCATGAGCGAGCAGCTCTAGAACGATTTAGCGGGTCCCAATCAGGTCATATACATCTCATTCCACTACTGATGTCTTATGAAACGGATACCACATATTACATGGTTTTCCCCTGGGCTAGATATAATCTTAAGCAGTTCTGGAAAAATGTCCCAAATCAGCCAAACTCTAATGAGTCGCTACATTGGATGCTTGGCCAATGCTATGGCCTGGCCAAGGCTCTGCAGAAAGTTCACAGGCATAACAGTTGGAAAGGTCTCCAGAACCGGGGTCGACATGGAGATATCAAGCCACTCAATATCCTTTGCTTTAGCTCCCAGGAGGGAGACGAGGATGATACCGACCCTACCAGATATCGGCTCGTCATTGCTGATTTTACTCTTATGAGATTCCACTCCGCTAATTCTGTCGACCAGGGCACGGCTTCTAAAGTTGGATACTCTCGAACCTACCAGCCACCCGAAACTAGGATGGGCGGCGAGGAGCCGGTCAACCAAATGTATGACGTGTGGACGTTAGGCTGCGTTTATATCGAACTAATAACTTGGCATTTGCTCGGATCCAAAGCGATTTCTAAGAAGTTCAACAGAGGAAATGACCCTCAATTGCTTCAAGGCTTTCAAACTCTACGAAAGTTAGAGGACACTAAACAATATGACCATGTCGAAGATAAGTTCTTCAACATAGATGGAGAGAAGGGGCCTAGTGTAAAAGGCTCGGTCCCAAAGGTGGGTTTTCCACTTGCGAAATGCTCTCGGTTTCCGCCATTGCAAGCACATAGACTAATTCCCCTATCAAGTGGTGTAACTTTCTCCGCCAGCAGCCGCATTGCTCTGAGCAGCTTGGACTATTCCTAGATCTGATCAAGAACCATATGCTGAAGGAGCGGCCCGGCCAACGATATAAGATTGATTGGATTTGCAGTGAGATGGAGTATATTCTTGGAAACTCCGTCGGTGGCAACGGATATCGTCTCGGTCACCCTTTGGACGAGATCGACACGGGCAACTTTCCCCCTCCTTTTACATCCGATGTAAGCCAAGCGGTTCCCATGCATGGCGAATTCTACTAAAAAGAAGAGCAGACCGAGAAACGCCTCGAAAACCTTCGCAGGCTCCCACTAGAGTCTTTAACCCAGTCTGGGCTTAATGAAACCAACGCCAACGACTTGGACGTAAGCATATTGTCTCAAAAGCTACTAGGGGTCCCTGGCACAACGAGTGAGCGGACATCCATGGAAACCACGACCATCAGCAGAGCCGCTTCGACAATTGATCGAGGGTCTGTATCGCAGCCAGGGCAGAGACTGAGCCGTCGATTCCTCTCTCCTTCAGATGCCATTTCTAATGCGGAAACACGACTCGGAAGCGCGCACAGCAATGAAAGTGATGGATTCAAGGGATCTATTGACTCCATGGAAACAAGACCCATGGACTTTACTGTTGGGAACGATCCCGTGGCTGGAAATATGGAGGAAACTAGCCCTCACGACGGACGACTTTCCATGCGCGATCGTGTGATACAGAAACTTGAGCGCCTGAAGTCACGTTTACAAAATCTGGTGAAGCAGATGATGAGGCATTAGAAGAATTCACAGGGAGTAGACAAAAGAACCTTCTTCAAAGAGTTGAGAGTGTAGGTAGCTCTTTTGAACGGGAGGTTCCGCATCAACTCGCTTGGAGAAATGCGAAGCAATTGCCATGTTGTAGCTTACCCCTGTACCTGTATAATAACTGTAATTTCAATATATATATATTCCTGCACAATGATGTGCTAAGGCATGCAAGTGTGGTTGCAATGGTCACGGCGGGATACGCTTTATGGAAACTTTCCCGTTGGGGCTGTTGTAAACGAGCCAATCACGAGGGATTCACTTCGGATACTAGCTTGCCCAAGAATATGTAAACAGGGCCAGGTTGAGATATAATTAGACTAAAAGGCGACTCTCACTTCACCATTGTGTTTAGGTACCCGGTACATCTGAATTTGTTTTCGCCACTCTTATTTGAACAGGCAGACAAGATACGAAACGGGGTGATCGGAGACCCTCTGATGATCGATGAAAACGGAGACAGGGCTCACGCTAGAGTTCTAAGTTGCGCAAACGGGTAAGGAGATCGACAAGTCCCATGACCCGAGGTGGAGCGTGCCGAATTCGAGATCACGGAGTCAACATCGTATCAAGACACATTCGACCACGGATCAGAGTCTGGAACTGGGAAAGGCTAAAAAATAATATCCGCAGACATGCTTATTCCAGGCACGGAACTGGCTAGTCTTGCCCCCGAATGCTAGAAACACCGGGAGTCTGGAACGGGGAGAGTCGGTCCAAGTGTTAGCGCTATTGAAGAAAAGGTAGCATTGAAGATTACTAATCAGTATTGTGGCCAACGGTGCAGGTGCAGGTGCAGGGTGCCTTGTCGGCTTGGATCCGCGCTTGGGGCACCTCAAAACACACCTGTTTAGCTCTCGGTATTTTTATGCACACTATGTTGTCAAGATCAGCTCCATGCGCGAATGCCACTGGTCTCAACGCGTGGGCAGGCAAAGAGCGAGTGACACGGGTGCGTCATGCATTTCTCGCCTCGGTCAGCTACAGGGATCGCGCCCTAGAAGCACTGTGATCGCCGGCCGTTGTGGGTGATGAGCGACAAAGGGCAGCGATCCGGGGCGTGTGATTGGCCCTGTAGCCCGGGAAGAGAAGGCGAGCATGCCACCACCTGCACACCGCGGCGAAGAGTCGAGGCTACAGCGCCAAAACACACCACCACTCCACTGTGCCACAGCGATCCACGGCCCTGGAGCACTCGCTCCGCGCCTCTCGCCACACAAGGCAGGCCCGATAAGTGGAGAGCAAGGCGCGGGATCGAGATTTATGGATGATCAGATCGAGTCAAGACCAGCCAGTCCTTCTGTCTTAGGTAAACCCTACTCGCAGCTAGGCAGGAGGGCCAGCACTTCTCTGTCGCAATGCAGCTTCGGCCTACTCTCTCACCCAAAACCTGTCAAGGCCGTGAAAGCGACAGGTTCCCATTATGCCCGGCGTGAAGCCTCACAAAGCGGTCTCAGAGGGCGTCCGAGAGCGTGAAACCTTCAAGTCTGTCCTCTCCCCCACTTCCACTCCTCCCCTCACTTGGAAACACGATCCCAAAAAGCTGACCTTGGAAATGCGACCAGGTACGACCCCACCCTCTCTCTCACCAGCCGATTCAACGACTCCGGTGAAGGCATCCCCAGTCGCGAGCTGGTCTCCTCGGGCGATGCTGTCCTCACTGCCCTCGCCCAGCTGGGCGCTTGCCAGACCGGCACCGAACGATCGCTAGTATCACTATTCGACAGCTCGGCCCAGCACATCGTCGCTGAAGCGACTGCCCACCAGCCCCTCTACGCTTCTCTTCCAAGCGAAAAGTGCCGCGAGCCTCTTTGGTTATGCGGAACCTCAATACCTCGAATCCATGGCGTTTGCGACCTGTCTTTGATGAACGATCCTTCCCCCCAAGGGGCTCCAATTGCTCAGGAGCCGAACGAAACGCCCTTTCTTCCACTCACCTTGTCGCAGGACCTTACTACCGACCCTCGATTTTCCGCCTCGCCCTTCTGCCGTCCTGGGTCGCTGGCTCGCTTCTACGCCGCCGTACCGATCCGAACCCGACGAGGAATTAACATTGGTGTATATTGTGTTCTCGACTCGAGTCCAAATAAGCCTTGGACCGATGATCATACCGAGCGGCTGAGGGAGATTTCGCAGACCATCATGGGACATCTCGAGGCCCAGAGGCTACGCGATCTTTACGGGCGAAGTGAGCGTATGAACCGTGGCCTAGCTTCCTTTATTGAAGGAAAGCGGGCTGTGTATTCCGTATGTGAGGTTGGCCGTGAGTCGAGAACTGTCACGGACAGGCTCGACAAGGATAGGAGTATCGATCCAAAGGAGGAGTTTGAGGAGGATGAGGAAGGGGAGGAAGAAAGAGAAGAGGGTGAACAATATCAGCCATCCAAGGCCAAGAGTCCCACAAGCATCTTCACCAAGGCTGCTACCATCATCAGAGAGTCGGTACAAGTAGATGGATGCTTCTTTTTTGATGCTTCGATGGAGTCATACAGGGTAAATTCGTCACTGAATCTGGGGGAGACAGACTCTATGGGGATTAGGTCTACCACCAGCAGCAGCAGCAGCGATGAAAGCCAAGATCTCGAGAACAGCCAGACATCTCGCCAAACAAGTGACCTTCTTGGATACTCGACGTCAGGTGCCTCCAATGCGGATGGTTTGGTTGTGAAGCGGCCTGTCTCTGTTATCGCCGAGCGGTTCCTGGGCAAATTATTACATCGGTACCCCAGGGGTAAGGTTTTCAACTTTGGCGAAGAGGGCGAATTGCAGACCTCTGACTCCTCGGAGGATGAGCTGACAGTCTCCTCGCCCACACAAAACGTGACAGAGCAGCCGAGGTCGCCTTCTGAGAGGAATGCAAACCTGAAGAAGAATAAGCCGAGGAAGGATATATGGAGCCGCAGAAATGAAGGGAACATTATCCTTCAAGCGTTCCCAAACGCCCGGAGTGTCGCGTTTATTCCCATCTGGGATCCCAGGAAAGAGAGGTGGTATGCCGGAGGATTCATCTACACCGAAGACCCCTCCCGAGCATTGACGATCCTCGGAGACTTAGGATTTCTTAGAGCTTTTGGAACGCTTGCCATGGCGGAAGTCCTGCGTTTCCACACATCGCGGGCCGAAAAAGCCAAATCCGACGTCTTGGGATCGCTTTCCCACGAGTTGCGGTCTCCTCTCCATGGAATCTTATTAAGTTCCGAGCTATTACTTGACACCGATCTGGACGTTTTTCAAGGCAATACAGCACACACCATCGAGACATGCTCCCGCACTCTCCTGGATACTATAGACCACTTACTTGATTTTTCGAAGGTCAATAGTTTCACGATGAGAAAGAGGGCCCGCAAAATTGAGCCGTCGCCTATAGCTGTTGCAGGAGTCGACTGGAGAAACTTTGGCAAAAAGAACTTGTTCTCCAACTGCAGGTTGGATGGTCTTGCAGAAGAAGTTATTGAAAGCGTATTTGCCGGATTTACATTCCAAAATTCGCCAAGCAAGCAGCCGCTGCCCCTCAGGCATCTAGGGAGAAAAGAGAGAGGGAGAAACAGCTCGCACAAGAACAGCGAGGACGTGGAATTCCGGTTCGCCAACGTGGTGGTATTCCTGCACATTGACCCCGGCTGCGACTGGATGTATTGCGTGCAACTAGGAGCTTTCCGACGAATTCTCATGAATATATTCGGTAACGCATTGAAATACACCCACCAAGGATCAATCAGGGTATCACTCACTCAAGACACCATTTATTTCAGAGGACAAAAGTCTGACCGTGCCGTCAGATTCGTGGTACAGGACACTGGCAAAGGTATTGGGCCCGAATATTTACGGCATGGACTGTTCAAGCCTTTCAGCCAGGAAGATACTCTTGCACCGGGGACCGGCCTAGGTCTAAGTCTAGTCAAGCGCATCACAACGCAGCTTGCCGGCCGAATTGCAGTTGAGAGTAAAGTAGATGTTGGCACAACAGTGACGGTTGAGCTCCCCTTGGAACCAGTGGCCAAACCACAGGTCGCACACTTCTACTCAGACGACGATAAGGAATTCGAGGGCTGGCTTCGAGATTTAAAAGGACTTCGAGTCAGGATTATGTGTCGCCCCGAATCCGAGAGTCGCGAAAAAATGGAGGTTCATAAGAACCACATTAAGGACGTGTGTGTGCACTGGCTTCAGATGGAGGTCGTAGTGGATGAGGACAAGGACGTGATGCCCGACCTCATCATTTGGGCGCACGACGCGATCCCCAAAGATTACGACGAAATCAAGATTCTCGCCGAAGCTCCGAATATTGTTATTTGCTCGAACGCGCTTGAAGCATACCGCAGATCCGAGGCTTTTGACTCACAGGGCCATTTTGGCATCTTTGAATATATATCACAACCGTAAGTCCAAATTCTTCCCAGCCACGCTCTCAGCGAATGATTGTCTCACAAAACCGCCAGAATCGGCCCTCGTAAGCTGGCAAAGACGCTGTTACTGGCCTACCGGCGCTGGATGGGCCCGACAAAGAAACGTTCGACGACTAAGCCGTCTCCTCTGCTGGTCCAGCGACCCGATGGCCCTAAGAGAACACCAAGCAGCTTCACCGTGCCCGAAGTTACCGTGTCTGGCGAGAGTTCACCGGATGTGGTGGAAAGCAGTCCCGTTGGCAGGGGAGATAGCACCAGCGAGACGGAGATGGAAAGCGTGTTTTCTGGCCCTTCTTCCCCACGTCATGATGCACCGACAAGCTCTAGTGAGACACTAGTCGGCTTGAGCTCTGGTGACGAGGCGTCGCCGTCGCGTTTGCCCGAGCCCGCACCTTTAGTTCTTCGCACCAAATTTCTTCTTGTCGACGACAATCACATCAACATTAAAGTACTATCGGCGTACATGAAGAAGTCAGGCCTTGAATATGAGACCGCAATGGATGGACAGGATGCGTTGAACTGCTTCTCAGAGTCTCCTCTCGCCTATTCTTGCATCTTGATGGATATATCCATGCCGGTCATGGATGGATTCGAGGCGACAAGGAAGATCCGGGCGCACGAATTGCTCAACGGACTGGAGCCGACCTGCATCATTGCGCTCTCGGGTCTTGCATCCGAAGATGCTCAGAAGGAGGCGTTCGGCAGTGGTATGGATTTGTTCTTAACCAAGCCTGTGAAGTGGAAGGCCCTAGGCGGCCTGCTCGAGTCAAGAGGCCTGCTAAAGAAGTGATTGATGACGATTTTGTCAATTACACGTATCACTCCCCCTCGGACACAGCAGACGGACACGCATGCGATGAGTTCGATCACTTGGCCTATTGTCGGTCGTCTGACTCACAATGGTACCCGAATTGCTTTTTCCTATCATGGTCCCGCACACACTTTATGAGAAACGACGACGTTACACGCCCCCCGATTTTGACTTTGGCACCGCGTAAGCAGCGAGTTTTCTTATTGGCAGTGTAACAGCCTCACTTTTCCGCGTTTATCCCTCCATAGGACCGACGGCCACCCCGCGCCTTCGCGAGATTTCTCCCACCCACATCTGGTTTCCTTGCCATAACAAGCGCATACCATGGCGGACACAGCGAACAAACGTATTTTGCTCATCTCCTTGGGCCACAAAGATTTCTTCGACGACATGTTCGAAAGCCTATTGGCTAGGCTGTCGACCGACGCGAAGTTCAAGCGCGCCAAAACCAGCAACTCAGCCTTGCGCTTTCTCGGAAACGACCCGCCGCCCAGAGCAGTCATCGTCACCGACTCGGCATTGATTAAGCACGAGCAGATGCTGGTCCGAAGCCATGTCTTCAGATACATCCGCAACGGCGGCACAGGCATCTTCATGGGACACTTCGCGTCTAGCGTGAATCCGCCCGACCTCCAAAACTTTTTTAATCAGATCGATCTGCCTTGGGAGGCAGGCTCATACAAGCGACTTACCCATAGGCTAACGCACACGCTGAATCCTCAAGTCTGGGAACCTTCGCCTGGCGCCGTGGCGCTCCCTGCGCAGTACCCCCAAAAGGCACTGTTCGTCAAAAACGTCAGACCAGACCATGCGCTGTATCAGACGACCGCGAGTTCACCGACCGAGGCGCAAGACGTCGCCCCCGAGATTCTTCACGATCCTAACGAGGCGGCTGTGGCTGTTGCTCCAGTGGGAGACGGAATAGCCGCGTATCTTGGAGACCTGAACGGTGAGCCAGAGATGACCACCGTAACTCTTGCCCTGTGTGGGCTTCCAGCCGGGGCCTGAATAGGTCCGGCACAATAGGACACATATCACTTGTCGGATGGGGAGCGTCGTGGCGCGCGAAAATTTGCCCAGCATTGACGTAACGACTCTTGATGATTATTAGAGGGATTGTATCTAGCTTGTAACTAGCTTTATTTCTACAAAGAAGCACGTCTTACATGCCGAAACTTCCATAATGAAAAGGCCTGATGCTCACTTTCTAGAATCCAAAGCCAAATGCATAACTTGTGTTGGTGGGCGGAGAGAACTTAACCGCAGTGCTGTCCTCCCCCGCCTTTGAATTTTCAAAGATGATGTCTACCCCGCAGATAGGGTCGTACCAACTCGTCTGGGATTTGCTAATCTTGAGACTGGTGTCGATTGAAATAAAGGACTCGCGGGAGTGTAGGGCATGGCCCAGGTGCCTCCTAAGCCTCTAGTCGACGTGATTTTATCACTCGGTCTTACTATTTGATAACCTTAATAGGACAACCGGATCAGAGACACGAGGCCGGTGAGAATCTTACCTGTAGCGCTATATTCTACATTCTAGAAAGGTACGCGCGTGAAATACGTCGCGTGTCCGCGGTCAAGAATGGCTTGTTAGGTGTACCGCTTCTGACTTGATCCCAGGGCAATGAAATCGGTTGATCAACTGTTGATTGGGATGGAGCTATTTGGATCAAGGAGATCGGAGCTTGCCAGGTGCATCATCATCCTGAGCGTCGTGTTACACCGGCAGCCCCGGAGTACACCTAGGCAGGGATTCAGCGACATGCCCGAATATCTATCTACAAGTTTGCTTGCTCGATCATAGTAACGAGGAAACCAGATTGCCTTGATGTAATTGTTTAACATTATCTAAAAGTACACCGGTTTCGTCGCGTATTATCCCACTGTTTCCGATAAACCAGTAAAACATTTACGGGCAAGGGCACGACTTTCCCTCAAATCCACGGGGGCAGATACCGCATGGGCTCATACCACCACCCTTGACCGGGGTCCCGCACAAGTTCTGAATGCCGTCCTTATAGCACTTTCCCTTTTTCTGCAAGCCTGTTAGAAAATCTAGGGTATTGAGATGAAGCAGTGAAATCGCAGGTTTTACCTTCAAAAGGCCACGCTTCTCAATGTACTCCTCGCGGGCGATGAGGAACTCGTCACGGGCAGCAAGGTACCCGTCCCGGGCGTCTTCAACCTCGCGGCGATCAAGGCCGTACTCGGCATCGAAGTCGCCGCCTATCTGAGCGGCAGCAAAGCCGGAGAGGGTGAAGAGTGAGATGACGGTCTTGACGAGATGCATTTTTGTGAGAGGTGGAAAGAGGTAGTAGAATATGATGTTGATGATGGCTATACTTGCAGTAGAACATGAAGAGATTGTGAATTTATATTTTCTCTTATCATGATCATGTTCCACTTAATGATATTGAAGGAATTTGGAACCTTACTCGTATCCATGTTGTTTGCCTGGGCACAGGCTCGCTATCAACGGTATAATAATGCCGGGTTGCCACTCACCTGCACCGTGCACCTGTTTCTCGGGTCCGGGACGAACCAGGTGTTCGCTACAGAAAAATCTCTTGGAATGAGACCGACACGAGCTTCACTGATTTGAGTATAGCTCCGGGTTGATCCCTCAGTTGCCAAGTGAAACCCCATAAACAGTTCATGCATTACCAGAGAGAGATTAGTGAAGGAATGCTATAGGCCTCCAGTTAGCACAATTCCGGGAGATTTGACGGAGGAACCCGAACGACCAGACGAAGAACTTGTTCGGTCCCGGTCGAGGACCAGTCCTTCGGGAAACCCATTGCGTCTATTTGGGGCAAGTCGGAATATTGATAACTTGAGCCAGTCATTGACTGCGTTTAGCGGTTGATATAACTACGTGGGGGGATGCAAATGCCGGGAAATTGGAGGCAGCAAGTGGGTGACATGAGAAATAAGACACTCGAACATCAAGCTGCTTATTCTCGAGTCTGTGGCCGGTATTATCAGATTATTGAGTACTAATAATACAAACTTCAGAGATAATGCAGTATATATTATTCCTAAATTTCATTTTATACTACTATATTTCTCGATTCAAAATAGAAGAGAATCTTTTCAACCACTCTTCCATTTGGTGCCTCATTTCTCATGTCGCCCACTTGGGCGGTAGGAGATGATTTTAATTATATGTGCCACGTCTACGCGGCAGTTTCTGTATTAATTAAATAGCACAGCAGAGACCTCTGGGTGCGTTTTAGCCCAATCTGCAAAAGAGTCTTGTGAGGCCTATTCTACGCAGTCATTCTCAGGCAGTCTAATCGATCACAGAGATAGATCGAAACATAAGACATTGAAAGCTGCAACATTGGCTTCCAACCTGCCATCTTAGGATGGACGAATTCAATAAAGTAAGGTGAATAGAAACCACCAATAAACTCTTACGCTGTAAATTATATCATCATTTTTTAATTACTGCATTTAATTTTGTCGAAAGACTGTCGGTAGCCTTTGTCGTGCCCTATGCAATGGCATCGCTGCGTGACAACTGGATCGTTGTTGAATCATGTCGAACATAGTCTTACGATCTCTTCTATGTAATCTTTGAGTTTTCCCTCGTATATATATGGACTATAGTCAATATTGCTTCGGATCTAATTCGCCATGGATTTAATGACGTGAGGTGAACCGATCGGTTCGTTGAGGAGGACCGGCCCCGGCCCGAGAATGACTTCAAGAATTATGCACTTAGATAAGCCTGAAGATATTGGTACTCACCTAGTTTCAATATAAATAGTTAAGTTTATCCTTAATACGTAAGAGAAAGAGAATAAAATTCAACAGCAATGGAAGCTGCCAGAGCCTGACAACTCAACACAACGAAAGTTTATCATTTATGACTTGACTTTCTGCCGCCTTCATTGTTGTTTTGGCTTTGATGAATACTGCATTATCAACTGCATCTGTCCGTCATGCCTAACTACACCCTCCCTCCCAGTCTTAATTCCCTTCAGATCTCGTATTATTACAGGAGAGGTTTGCCCTGTCATGTCTGTCAAGTAGATAACTGGAAATGAAACTTCATAATCTGCAAGATGGCTGGCATGCATGAAAGTTCTTCGATATGCAGCACTCCTCCGTTGACTGTCACAGAACCGTTGCCCAGCTCACCCTGGCATGAAGTTATGTGGGAGTGCGGGAGTGTCACCCCTAGTCCGCGTTCCATCTAATTTATACTGGCACATCAGCCGGTTTGGGTTCTGGACGTAGGAGCTGTAGCCGTTACTCCCCACATCAATACAGTTGAAGAATAGCTATACCAAGATATGTGTTGAAATTATCGACTGGATTTCCGTCAGAGAATGCCCCTAATTCGGTATAGAAGTAGAATCCGCGTCAGTCAGGGCCTCGTATTGCTTCCTCGCCTCCTCGACACTTAGGTGAGAATATCGCATGATCTGCCAAGAGTTTCATGTAGGGCGTTGTGCCTTTAGGTCCAATTGGATATTTTATATACTAGAACGTAGGGCTATTCTACTCAGCAACCGGCGACGCTGCAGAACGGCGGCTGTAGAGGGACCCGGGCCGGTACGAGCGAGGGCTGCCACCATCATACTGTGCAGGGGCGTATTTCGAGGCAGGATGTCTAACTCAGTGCACGGCTCAGCCCTGGCCGACCTAAAAAGAAACCCTCCTAATAGCTTCTCAGACAGAGACATTTCTGGGGCTAGATAGGGGTTGTTATGCTTGCCAGTATGGCTGCGCCAGAGCTGTACACTACTCTCTTTCCAACGACTTCCACACTTGAGGAGGCTCGTCTTTGCCGCCTTGAAGAGGGGAGGCATTGCTGCCTTGTTCAAGGTCCTCTATCTTATTTTTGAGAGAATCTACATATCTGTTACATAATCTTGGTAAAAGTGATGCGCATTTTGGCGTTCCAGGTTTACCGGGGAAGGCGCTGACTGGAACAAAGTGGCTTTTCTTGATGGTTACAGTCTGATCGGGACTGTCGCTTCGTAGAACTTGGCCTGTACACTCTGCGCCATGGCTCAAATAGGAAGAGCACTTCGTTAGAAGTTTACCACGCTTAGAAATGATTCATCAGCATACGAAGCCCGGAGAAGGTTTACCAGAATGGACAGCACCCACTCTATATTTGCGGCTAAAGCAGCGCTTCGCATGCACACCGCCGCGAGCTCGGGGGTGCTGCCTCCTCGTCCATAAGGGGGAAACGCCAGAAATGGGTGTAAACTGGCTAGAGTGAGATCATAGACGATGGACCGTGTTGAGAGTTCTTCATGAGAAAGAAACTGTCGGGCTTGTCAGTGTGCGGGGATTGGCGGCCTCAGTCCGGAGAGGGGGGACACGGTCCGACGTAGTCGACCTCAATATCTCGCTGGCGACTTTCCACGAGCTATCTTGTCATAATATCGGCCTTTATGTTTGAGGCCCCATTTAGATTCTCGGGGCTTGGTCACTCTGAAAAGGTTACAGTCCGGTCATAGGTAGTGCGCTTAGAGTTGGAAAAACATTGCCCTGAGGAATGGATTGATATGGATAAATGCACTGCCCGGAATGTCTCTTCCACCATCGCCTAGCCCCTTGTCCATTGAAAGAATCTTCTTGGGATTGAAAAAATTACTCGAAAAGTCTCAAAGCTCTCCAAGTCTACCGTTTCTACTCAATTCATTCCATTGTACGGTCGAATCTTTTGTGTGATAGCTTCAATGCGATCTTCTCAGCAGAACTAGAACATGAACACTGGCGCCAAAATGACCAATAAATGCTAGTTGTTGGCAAATTGGGTAGGGGTAGATGATATTGATGCATCACTAACTTACGAACCATCAGAAAGCAAGGTGTAGCCATTGATTCATCTGCATACCCAAGACGTGGTATCCAGATGCTGAACACACCCGGGGCCAACTCTGGCTACATTTTTGAGCTAGTGCTAGTTCTTGCGAGAGCTGTAGGAAGGGAAATAGCCTTGATAATCTCGCGCCAGTCTCGGGGATATATAGTACCCAAGGAGACACATAATGAGTGGCCAGACACGGCAGGAAAAGACTGTCGCTCGCATATTTCCCAACGCGTTCAAACTCGCCCATTATTGCTTACGACTCGTTCCTTCATGCGTAAGCGTGGCAGGATGTTCCTCACACGAGAGCTTCTGCCATTAATGATCTCCTGAGGGATTCTCTTTTTATCACGCCGCACGTGCCTCTAACATCCAACAGTAAGGACACAATTTCTCTGCCACAATTTAAATTGATGAAGAACAGCCACTTACGAAAGGCAAGTATGGTCGGCTGTGGGAGTTGGGGGTAATGAGCACTCCGCACATTGGAAGCGCGACCAGTGACACTCAGACAATCACCGGACTGACAGATGCGAAGCGGTAGCTAGATTTCGCATAAACCTCATAGCCCTGTAGAATTATAAGTATGGAGAGGGGAGAGCCGGGGAAAAGCTCTCGAGTGAGTTTCTATATTGTAGCTCGAATTTATGTTTAGATCGCAATGCAACATAATATTCATGTATGATTAGAAGATCAAGCTATGTTATCAAGAGTTGGTTTAATGAAATCTCTTGTACTTTATTCAACAACATGGCAAAATAATATCACAGCAAGGCATATCACTACAATAAATTCAACTAATCACTTAATCAAATTATAATGCCGGAACTCATCAGCACAGCTATGCCTTCGCAGTGCTAAAAACGCGTCCTTCTATAGGCGCGACTGTTAGCTGTTACTTGCAGCTTAAAAGATAAAAGCTGTCCACATTCCACATAAGAGGGTATCACGATACGATGGAGAAAGCCCGCGGGCTAACTATTCTTCCATCTTCGGCACCGATTTGCCCTCCCATTTCGTTAACAAGCGCTCTGCAAGCACATTTTAGAAATGAAATCAACCAATCGAAAGTGTGACTGGGCTGCAAGAATCTGACATACATACCAATCTGTTTCAAAACAGGCAACCGACATGGCTATCTTCTTCCCCGAGGTGATATGACATGGGCCTGATGCAGCTGATTGTTCCCCTCATTGTTCCCGGATTAGTGACTACAACCCTCCAAACGGGAAACGGGGGAATTCGCTAGGCGAACCCTGCCAATGTGGACTGACGGAGAGAAACAGTGCCGCAGACTTTGAGACGAAACCACCCGAACGTAATGATACGCTGAAGTCACGAGGCCAAGGGTAGAAATGCGGCGGTTGATGGTCCCAGGCAACGTCATGATTCGCCCATGTGGCTGGGCCACCCAAATGCTACGTCAGGCTTCCCACACGAGGATCGACAGGCAAGGG